AGAGGCTATTCATCCATCTTAGAATTTCCCAACTCTTTCCTTTCATATGACCCTGACCTACCCATGAATTATTTTGCATTTAGCACAGTTCCATAATATTTTCATCAGATTTCATACACTAATACAAATTGGTAAGACTTATTCAGCAGTGCTATAATTTTCTAACCTTGTCCTCCTATATGACCTTAACTTCACTTTTTAAAGCTTTTTCATCGAACTTTATACAACGTTAAAGATTGGTAAGAGAAATTTCATTCTGTCATAATGATGAATTGCGACTTTGACCTTCCCATGACCTTGAACTTCACTTTTAAATATTATTCAATTAATTTCAGATACTTAGATATTTGTGAGAGCAATCTATGCCATTATTTTCAAACATTGACCTTTCCAATTGCATTTACCTTGACCTCGCTATTCTTTCATTTTTACAGTTACCCAAGTTTTAAAAAAGTATGATGGATATTTTCATCAAACTTTGCATATTGATACAAATTGATGGAAGCAATTAAAGAGTGTCATATTCTTTTAGTCTCGATCTTCGCTATGACCGCGAATTTAACTTTTTCCCTCGTTTTACTCTTAGTTCATCTGATATCACATAAATTCATCAAGGATTACTTCATAAAACTCCATACACTGATTCTCTTTAAACCACCTTCACATGAAAAACCACCTTCACATGAAATACCACCTTCACATGAAATAACCACCTTCACATGAAATAACCACCTTCACATGAAATACCACCTTCACATGAAATAACCACCTTCACATGAAATAACCACCTTCACATGAAATACCACCTTCACATGAAATAACCACCTTCAAATGAAAAACCACCTTCACACGAAAAACCACCTTCACATGAAAAACCACCTTCACATGAAATAACCACCTTCACATGAAAAACCACCTTCACATGAAAAACCACCTTCACATGAAATAACCACCTTCACATGAAAAACCACCTTCACATGAAAAACTACCTTCACATGAAAAACCACCTTCACATGAAATAACCACCTTCACATGAATAACCACCTTCACATGAAAAACCACCTTCACATGAAATAACCACCTTCACATGAAAAACCACCTTCACATGAAATAACCACCTTCACATGAAAAACCACCTTCACATGAAAAACCACCTTCACATGAAATAACCACCTTCACATGAAAAACCACCTTCACATGAAATAACCATCTTCACATGAAAAACCACCTTCACATGAAATAACCACCTTCACATGAAATAACCACCTTCACATGAAAAACCACCTTCACATGAAATAACCACCTTCACATGAAAAACCACCTTCACATGAAAAACCACCTTCACATGAAAAACCACCTTCACATGAAATAACCACCTTCACATGAAAAACCACCTTCACATGAAATAACCATCTTCACATGAAAAACCACCTTCACATGAAATAACCACCTTCACATGAAAAATCACCTTCACATGAAATAACCACCTTCACATAAAAAACCCCCACCTTCACATGAAATAACCACAGCATAACATAAAAAAGCACCACCTTCACATGAAATAACCACAACATAACATAATAAAGCACTATCTTTACATGAAATAACCACAACATAACATAATAAAGCACCATCTTCACATGAAATAACCACAGCATAACATGATAAAGCACCATCTTCACATGAAATAGCCACAACATAACATGAAAAGGCACCATCTTCTCATGAAACAACCCATACTTGGCAGCTATGGCGTTCCATACGGAACGCTTCAATGCAGGTTAAAATTTTGTCTTGAAACGTATGTGTGAATGAATGAAGCCACTTTAAGATTTGCACCGGAGTAAGTTTTTTATGCTAGTTACATAGATATGTCCAAACTCAGTTTAGATATTCAAATTCACAAACGTGTCTCCTTAAATGAAGTTAGTCACGTGATCAGACTTTTCTTGCATATCCAACCATGGCGACTTGGTGTAGGTTTTATCCTTATATAAATTAATTATTGCTTTATAAAATTTGCTTGGGGAATTTCAATATGGCGTAAATATGCAAATTAGAATATTTCTTATCAGTTATGGAGACTTATTTCTCCATATATGTCACAAGACTGACAGGAAAAAACAGCACATGCATTCTGAATTAAATCATGCTTCAGGGTAAACGCTATTTACTAAAAAAAAAATCATATATAAATTAAAAATTTGATTTGAAAACTATGGCATTTTAAATATCATAGACAACTGCTTCTATAATTAAAAAGAAACAGAATCGGATATTTTAATTTATATCTTGTCTGTAGTCATCAACAAAATTACTTTGTTAAAAATCACTCTGATTCTACACAGAAGTACTCTGATGTTGATATAGAAAGGATGCTGAGTTCCTTATTGACAACATTTATTTAGTCTTTGGAGACCAGGTCTTCCAACATTTTTTTGGATATCTAATATGCAATAATTGTCCTCTTTCATTAGGCGATCTGTTGTTATATTCCTATGAAGCAGAATTTATTCAAAAACTAAATACATAAGAAGAAAACACTTGTTGTTACCTTCAACTCAACATTCAGATGTATCAACGATGTTTCATCAATTAACAGAAGTTAATTACTTCCATTTATATGTCGACTTGATGTATTCCAGTGAACAAAAGACACAATAGAGTCTGTCACATCTGTTTCATATTTGGATTTTTTACTGACTAGACGATAAGGGCCAAATATAACAGCTAAAATATATGTCAAACGATATAACTTCAACTTTTCCATCATGTAGTGATATTTCACTATCACATGCACATCGTGTTTACGTCTCCCAACTTATTCGATACCTAAGAGCATGCTCTGATTACGATCATATTTTAAACGGGGCATGCTACTGATAAATAAGTTGATGTTACAGGGATTTAAATAGCTTCGTTTAAAGTCAGAATTTTGCAACTTCTATGGTCGTTATAATGACGTTGTTAGCAAATACAACCTATCCTTGGGTCGTATTTTGACTGACATATTTCATACCATATATTGTAAGGCTTATTTTTATGCTAAATTTGACTTTGATTACTTTGTCTATCAGATCAATACATAGAGCTCACGACGGATGTGACCGGTCGACAGGGGATACTTACTCCTCCTAGGCACCTGATTCCACCTCTGGAACTTCCAGTGATTTGAGTTTTATGCGCTGTTTACATTTTATATTTATATTGTTTGCAGATTTTTTTTTTTTTTTACATCGATCACTGTTCGTTCTTTTCAGCTATTCCATTCACTTATCTTTTGTTGATTAGCACACAAGACAATGTGGGTATTTAAGAATATTACATCCTTTCGACTATGCATGCATATAAGACTTAAAGCATATAGGTATATATGTTACTGAGAACATTACGATTATATGATTTTCGAATATAAAAACAGCGTGTTCAATTTTCTTATTATTATTATATGTACGTGAACTATCTACCGATTGCAGTGATCAAGAACAATCGTTGCCATGTTGTCAATTGCGAAGTTGTGTTTAGTGCGAAAACCATTGAAAACTGATTACCACGAAATTTATAGAAAAAAATAACACTGGCCCACTGCCAAGATTGTCGCGTACATGCACTTATAAAAGGTCAAAATATACAGCTATTTGTTACGTTTTGTAATAAGCTCTGTTAACCTCATATAATTACATTCAGTGTAATTTTCTTTATGAAATCAATCCATTGCAAATCTACAACATTCAATCCCCTGTAACACACACAAAACTTTGTCACTGCGCGATGGAATACACAGTACGAGGAACGACACACAATTTCAATACACTAGGAACACCAAAATGTATTAATATTGTTTGGGCTCAATTAAAAAAAAATCTTTCAAATTGTTGCAATGAATAAAAAAAAAAGAACACAGAAAATTAGAGAAGGTAAATATAAGCACTGAATTCTTATTCTGGGATGTCGTTGCTCGTTAACAGATGCATCTGCCCGTGTCGACAAATTATGCATGTAACGCTCGGTAGCTACTGAGACACTGTTTTCAAGAAAATTAGATGCAGATATAGAAAACTAAGAAAGATTTACGCAGTGCCAAAATACTACGATATATGTATTACAATTATTCCAAAATTAGGGGTTGATATATTGTGATGATGTGATGTTAGGAAGCAATTGAGGGGGCACAAGCATATAGTAGCTCGGTTTTCTATAGCAATCTATATATCGGCAAAATTATTGGGGGCACGCCCCCCGTGCCCCCCCCCGGTTCCTATGGCCATGAATGGCGTTCTCCCTCCTTCTACGACATGCATATATACTTGGACAAATACACCAACGAATCTAATCAGTGGCGGATCCAGGAATCTTGAAAAGGGGGGCGACCAGTTTGGGGTCGGGGTAGGGGCCCACGGCCACTCCAAAAAAATTGATTTATGAAATCTCATTTATATTTTGGACACAAAAAGGGGGGTGGGCCCCCTGGGCCTCTTCTAAATCCGTCAGTACTAATAACATAATGACGGTTACATGTAGTAGTACTATCAGATTATGTATTACCAGATTTTACTTGGAAGTATGCATACAGGAGGCAGAAATATACTGTTAATTTCCAGAAACTATTTAAAAATGTTATCAAATTGCTGTAAATAAATTACGTTTCGACATTCCGCAGCCCCCCCCCCCCCTTAAGATAACTTGTATGATGTTGCAGTACTAAATAGATTTTCTGTTTGAATTGAAAAATAAAGAATTGTTCGTTATGTGTGATTTCTGACCATTATGAAATAAAAACAATTTGAGTTCGGTTAAATAAATGGATTTTTATATTCCTCAGATATTTTTAAATGGACAGTCATTAAAAAAACGTTATCCAAAGTCTTTTCTATATAAGCCACACTTACGACTGCTGATGTAGAGAAGTTACATTTTGTTGCTTTGTGAGAAATCCTGGATCCACGCACGTATTTAATAACCACGTGACTATATTCACTCAAACTTCCGGTTTTAAACTGGCTCATAATACATGTCATGTAGGTGTAGGGAAAGAATGGGGCAGTATTGATTGATTTCCCCACATTTCCAGGGGTTTAACTCCAAGGATGGCGACATCAGAGAGTTTAGCGATCATCATCGCCTCAGACGGTACGTAGTGGGGGGAAATTAGGGGAGAAATCCGTCTTCAAAATCGGGAAGATAGTGAACGCCATTGGATTGTTTACAGGCAGACAGATCAATTTTGAGGATCCGGGGAGGGAGGGGGGATTTAGTATTACTTTTATGTCGTGAATGGAATCTCTGAGGTCACACCAAATATTTCGAGTCCTTTTTTTTAATATAAACTTTATTTTTTTTTTCTTTTTTTGACAAATGAATTCTGAAGTTGTTTTTCACAGTTCGCTGGCAGTGTGGCATGACTACACAGTTCTCTACCAAAACATGAATCAGCTGATTTTCAGATTAGATACATTGACCTCATGTGTCTTAAAACAACTCCTGATTTTATGTGTTAAAGGTTAATTTAATAAGAGAAGTTGTTTGAAAGTTTGACTCTGAAATGTAATTCAGCAGTAATTTTAGTGTGCAGGTTGAATTTTAGAACTTAAAGGCCTAATATTTACATTTTTAATTTCACTTTAGATGTTTAAATTAATTCATTGATAATGCATGTACAGTGCTGGTGAATGGAAAAGAAAAGTGGACAAGTATTCAATCATGAAACAACTGATATCTTTAAATTTAGAATTCAGCTTAATAACAGTAGTTAGAATATTGTCTTAAGTCGAACTTCAGAAGGTCATGATAGTGTAATGGTTTGGACCATGGCCTGCTAGCTCAGTTGGTAGAGCACCTGACTAGTGATGCAGGGGTCCGTGGTTCAATTCCCGGTCCAGCAATCCATTTTTCCTGAATTTCCTTTCCTGTTACATAATTTGGTGCTGTTGACCACCTATGGACTTGCAGGTGAAAGTTCTGTAAGGGGCAAATAAGAACTTGGCTTGTGTCTTTGAGGGCAGAGACAATTTTATGCCCTGTTCACACGGAGAGTTTAATTCGCAGTAAATTAATGCGAAGTAAAATAATGCGAATCAAACTAATGCGAATTAAATTGCGTTCACACGACAGCTAATGCGAAGTAAATTAATGCGAATTAAATTTTTTATTTTTACAATAAGGCTATTCGGTAAGACTATTATGACGTCATTTGCAAATCACGTCACATTATGCAAAGCAGATCCATTTGACATAATATTATAGTGTCTGTACACATTTTAGCGATTAACATAATTTTCCTTTATTTTTCACTCAAAAATAGCACAAGTATCAAAATTTGACCATCGACAAGTGGCCTGTGACTTAATTCTGCCCTTACGCATGCGTCAAAATTTAATTCTAATTAGCTTCGCTTAGCGTTCACACGGAGCTAATGCGAAGTAATTTAATGCGCAGTAAACTAATTCGAATTAAACTAATTTGCATTAAATTCTCCGTGTGAACGCGGATCAAATTTAATTCGCAGTAACTTACGTTTAATTCGAATTAAACTCTCCGTGTGAACAGGGCATAAGGAGGGAGGAATGTAATGGTTTGGGCCATGGATATCAGCCTGGGTACCTCAGTTGGTAGTGCACCTGACTAGTGATGAAGGATCCCCGGGTTGGATTTCTGGTTCTGCAGCCATACATTTTCTCCTTTCCTGTTACAATAGAAATAGTTGATCATTTTTTCAGACTGAGTCAGCATACATATTAACCTACTGTGATGACAAAGGGGGAAATTCAGGTCTTGAAAGAGGTAGCATTGCGTGTGATGGTTTACACTTTAATTTTGAGAAAATATTATACATGTATTTGTTAAATAATATGGCCTCAGATGACCATTGCAATAATTAAAATCAAATATTAACTGCAGTGAAGTAGACAAAAACACCAATTTAATACATAAACTACACAAATAAATATTTTTCGTGCTCATCACAATAATTATAGCTCTGAGTGGCTGCTTTAGCCTTTTAAGGAGTGATCTTGTTGCTATAGCCTGGATAAAATAATTGTCATTAGTTGCCAAATATAGCAAATTATTCAAATCTAAATCTAGCTTGTACATGCATTTCACTTAAAAAAATATTTGGATTTCCCACAATGATTGAAAGCAAAAGAAGAGATGCAAAAAAAAGTATTAAATGAATTCCGATTGCCTTTTTTACTTTTCTGAACAAAGTCAAATGTTTTCATGCAGGTTCTAGAATATTGTCTCTCCCTTTACTTAGTAGGGATGTCAATGAAATTTATCACAACCAATGCATTATGTAATCACAGATATGTGTGAACCTGTTGTTGTCAACGCATGCTTGAAATCTGTGTGAACATCAGTTCAAAAAAAGCGTTTGTATGCTCTCAGTTCAAATCACGCGAGATCTTAGAAACTAATGAAAATTTATGACCAAGTAGTTTCAAAAAATGGCTATCCAAGAGAACCAAAAATGGAATTTGCAGAAAAGCAGCTGATTTTTTAATAAAAGCAGTAGATCTGAGATGCAGTAAAAAGTGGTAGTCTTCTGTTTTCTGGCTAAATTGGTAGAGTTGTCATCTGTGGAGTCAGCAAAAACTGGTTTAAAGAATTACAGTTTATAGGAGACTTGATAATCTCAGCTTAAAGAACTCTCTATTAGACAGGTGTGTCTCTGTACGTCCTAGTTGTAGTCAAGTATCTGATTCCTATCAGAGACTTTGCTAGAAAACATGGTCTCAGTAATGATCCATCATTTCACAAATTGAAGGTTCATTTCTTTTCCTTATTCAAATTTAAGATTTGTGTCACATTGAGACTTCTCACTAATAATATATCAGCTTCAATGATCTGTCTCTAAATATTAGGACTAACATTGTTCAGGTGTGTTTAAAATAAAAACCTCACCTAATATTATATGTAAGCATATATTTATAATTATGTACATGGCAACATTTCTAGTACATGTAATATCTAGCTAGCTGTATTAATGAAAAATTTTATATGTCCTATATAGAACTTCTCATCCCCCTTTTCCCCTTAATCCAATTTTTACCAGGCAGTTGCCATTTACAAATGCTTTTTAAGGTAATCACACATGATCATGATAATTATTCACTTGTTTAGCAATACTGATTGCAGAATATTGTTGATTTATTTGATATGATATGATCATGATGATATATAAAACTTTAACAACATGATAAGGATTTTCCTACATACGAACTTTGAGTGTAAATGTCATACCTATAGGCAAACCTAATTAGTGAAAAAAGAAAATATCAGATTTTACCTACAGAAATTATTGAATTTCCTTAACAGTATTTACTGAGCTATGATCTAAGAACATTAAACCCCCCATTCAAATGAGAACCAGCATTTTGTATGTTAATGTGTTCATTGCCATCACTGGCGGATTTAAGGGGGGGGGTGTGGGGGGCGCACGCCCCCCCTAAAATTTTCAAAGTATGATATAACTAATATCAATAATGCCATACTTTGGTATATAACAAACCAATACCGCTATTTTTGTGCCTGGTTTTACTCTTAAAATACACGAAAACCCAGGAGCTTCCGGGGGCTTCGCCCCCTGGGCCCCCTCTATTCAAAGTATGATATGACTAGTATTAATAATGCCAAACTTTGGTACATATAAACTAACCAATACCCCTATTATTGTGCCTGGTTTTACTCTTAAAATACACGAAAAACCAGGAGCTTCCGGGGGCTTCGCCCCCTGGGCCCCCACCAGGGCTTCGCCCTGGACCCACTCGGGGCCTTAAGGCGGCCCCAGACCCCCTGCCTGAACGAAGTTATCCACGCCCCCCCTAATCACAAATCCTGTATCCGCCCATGGCCATGCACAACAATCACCTGTACACATTTACACTTCTAAACCATGATCAGTGGTAGTGTGTACTTATTAGTCACAAGAACCTCTACTTTCACTTTCAATTGTCTTTGTTTCATTTTCTCAGTAATCTGTCTAGCCTGATAAGATTAAGGATATTCCAAAAATGACTGTTGAAAAACAAGCATGTGAATATACGATATTGTAAAGTAGAGCATAATAGTCAGTGTAATGTAATTGACACTGTGTGACTGGCATTAATTGTAAGCGCTAGACATAATTCAAAAGGAATACTCAAATGCTAAATAGACTAGAGTCTGACAGTGAACTATATCACAACTGATATGCAGAACTATCTACATATCCCTGGCTGTACATTTTAATACAATGCATACAAGAACCAAAATCTGAAGGGAATTTTTTTTCCGGTTATGCCACAATTTATATTTACTTTTGAGAGAGAGAGAGAGAGAGAGAAAGTTAAGAAGTACAATTACATAAACATGTTTAATCCCGATGTTTTCCAAAATCTTTGAAAATTTCTATATTACAATGAAACTGTGTTTCTTTCAGAAAATGCAGTTGTTAAGAATGTTTCTAATCCAGAATGTTGTCTAATCTGGCAAATTGTGGTGTCCTGATTAGACAAGTTTTACTGTATCTAGAACATGTTCAACATATCTTATCTAATTTTAATGTGTGTAGCTATATAAATTACATATAACATTGTACTGGATACAAAATACCTTGGTATAACAAATCCTTGTCTAATTGGTCAATTTATTCCCCATAAGCTACTGTAAATATGGTCATTCTTTCTGGGAGACAAACAAACATGTGAAATATGTGATAACTGGGACTTGTAACTGTGTGTGAGGGAATTTTACTTGGCTTTAAGCATAGCATGTAACTAGTGTTAATTTCCCCCACTCATCAATAATCACTTTTATGGAATTTTGCCAAAGAAAAAAATGTCCTATTAAATTTTCTCTGTGATTTAAAAAAAAAAAATGAGGAATTTAGCAATGTCTTCATAAAGCTTAACTCCAAAGGCAATATTGCTATGCCAAATCATTGGTTTTTCTAGAAGTTGTCTCCGAGTGGCTTGTATCCTTGATAGTATTTGTCTTTTAATGATCAGCAGTGGACACTCATTGTTGCTTCGTAGTCATCAGATACTGGTACGTGTTGTAGGGCTGTGTCAATATATCGAATATTCAATACGTATCGATTTTCAGGAATGTATCGTATCGAAAAAATAACTTCCAATACATATCAGACAGGCAGTTTTCCTTATAATTCTGTAAAAAAGTTGGGAATTTCACTTACCAAAGATTATTTTTGACTGTTTTGAATTAAAAATGATCAATAATGAAATAAACATTAAGGAGATAGCACATCTTAAATAACTATTACAAAATACATAGATAACTATATTTTAACATGTTATGTAAGACTCACCCAGTTTTTATCAAATTTATGCATTAAATGTCATTTACAAGACATTTGTGAAAGACTTAATAAATAATCCAATATATCGCATATCGCTTTAAAAAATATCGTATCGTATTGTATCGAAATATTTTGCTCAATACACAGCCCTAACGTGTTGTGATAGAATCTCCACTCCTTAGCTTAGTATGTCAACATGGTCAAAGTGCTTTATTCATTTCTTGTTATGGATTATCAGTTAGAGGGCTCAGACACACAAAAGATGACTAGGGGAATATAAATATATATTAAACCTCCGATGTCGAGGCAGCTGGATGTGAGATGTATAGTGTACACATGTCACATAACAGTCTTCCTCAGTGCTAGGAAAAACAAGGGAAGGAATTTGATATTCGCTGTACCATGAACTTATTCAAACAAAGTGTTTGATACAAGGAAAAAAAAATGTTTGCCAGGTTTTGCTGATATCTGAACAGATGTTGTAAATTGAAATAACTATTCAGGAGGATATTTATTTTAAGAATTATGTTAGAGTGCTCATATTTACTCTGTTTTATGACATTTTATATGTATAGCTTGTACATTAAGATCACTTATCACTATAAGTATAGAGGATACAAGCTCTGTAGATCAAGTGTTTATGGAGTCATCTCTCAATTCTGAGAAAATGTCAGCTTTTTTAACCTTTTATAAAGTTTGTTGGATAAATTTTATTGTATATTTATATTTACTACACTATGGTTTTAATATTTTTAGATGATGCAGCTCAAGTATTTTTTAAATGCATGGGTAAAAATTCTTTATAGGAAGGCCGTTTATAGATTTTAAAGTCAAAAGGTCAAGGTCGAATTGCTCAGTTTTCTATGAATACAGACTATATACACTTTGAAAAAATGAGGTTGTTTTACTTGAAGACCCCATTTTAACTTTACATTTGAAAGAAATTACCTTTTAATTTTAGGACTAATGGCTTGATGGTCAAGGTCAAAATGTTGGGCTTTCAACTGACATAGTCATATTTCTAGTGGTATCTCAACTGATGTTGTGATCTTCTAGTGGTATTTCAACTGACATAGTCATTTTTCTAGTGGTATGTTTAAGATTTGTTTATTAAATATAGATGGGGATAAGATTTGACATTAGAACTGTAAGTATAAGTAAATAATTAAAGCACTAAGAGAATATTCCTGATTGTTAACCATTTACTGTAATACATTTTCTTTGTGAAATATGTCACATTACATATGATATACAGGACAGGTATATTCACTTGATTATTATCAGCTAATGTTTACAGTCAGTATAAGATGTGCCCCATTGACTATCATTATTCTCTGTTTTGTGGTAGGATGATTTGAACATAGACAAAGTCTAGATCTGTACTATGTTTTGTGATAGGATGAGTTTGTACCTAGACAAAGTCTAGATCTGTGCTGTGTTTTGTGATGAGTTTGTACCTAGACAAAGTCTAGATCTGGCTCCGGAGCCATAAAACTTAGACGAGCTCATTTTTGATCTCAGTCTCACTTTTACCAAAGGAATTCATAGTAGAAAAGTGAGACTGAGATCAAATGTGAGCTTGTCTAAGTTTTATGACCTCAGAGCCTATGCTATGTTTTGTGGTAGGATTAGTTTGTACCTGGACAAAGTCTAGATCTGTGCTCTGTTTTGTGGTAGGATGAGTTTGTACCTATAGACAAAGTCTAGATCTGTGCTCTGTTTTGTGGTGGGAAGAGATTGTACCTAGACAAAGTCTAGATCTGTGCTCTGTTTTGTGGTAGGTTGAGTTTGTACCTATAGACAAAGTCTAGATCTGTGCTCTGTTTTGTGGTGGGAAGAGATTGTACCTAGACAAAGTCTAGATCTGTGCTCTGTTTTGTGGTAGGATGAGTCTGTACATAGACAAAGTCTAGATCTGTGCTATGTTTTGTGGTAGGATGAGTCTGTACATAGACAAAGTCTAGATCTTTGCTGTGTTTTGTGGTAGGATGAGTCTGTACATAGACAAAGTCTAGATCTGTGCTGTGTTTTGTGGTAGGATGAGTTTGTACCTATAGACAAAGTCTAGATCTGTGTTCTCTTTTGTGTTAGGATGAGTTTGTACATAGACAAAGTCTAGATCTGTGTTCTGTTTTGTGGTAGGATGAATTTGTACCTATAGACAAAGTCTAGATCTATGCTGTGTTTTGTGGTAGGATGAGTTTGTACCTAGACAAAGTCTAGATCTATGCTGTGTTTTGTGGTAGGATGAGTTTGTACCTAGACAAAGTCTAGATCTGTGTTGTGTTTTGTTATGGGATGAGTTGGTACCTAGACAAAGTCTAGATCTGTGCTGTGTTTTGTGGTAGGATGAGTTTGTACATAGACAAAGTCTAGATCTGTGCTCTGTTTTGTGGTAGGATGAGTTTGTACCTATAGACAAAGTCTAGATCTGTGCTGTGTTTTGTGGTAGGATGAGTCTGTACATAGACAAAGTCTAGATCTGTGCTGTGTTTTTGTGGTAGGATGAGTTGTACCTCAGACAAAGTCTAGATCTATGCTCTGTTTTGTGGTAGGATGAGTTGTACCTCAGACAAAGTCTAGATCTATGCTGTGTTTTGTGGTAGGATGAGTTTGTACATAGACAAAGTCTAGATCTGTGCTGTGTTTTGTGGTAGGATGAGTTCGTACTGAGACAAAGTCTAGGTCTGTGCTCTGTTTTGTGGTAGGATGAGTTTGTACATAGCAGAGTCTAGATCTGTGCTCTGTTTTGTGGTAGGATGAGTTTGTACATAGACAAAGTCTAGATCTGTGCTGTGTTTTGTGGTAGGATGAGTTCGTACTGAGACAAAGTCTAGGTCTGTGCTCTGTTTTGTGGTAGGATGAGTTTGTACATAGACAAAGTCTAGATCTGTGTTCTGTTTTGTGGTAGGATGAGTCTGTACATAGACAAAGTCTAGATCTTTGCTGTGTTTTGTGGTAGGATGAGTCTGTACATAGACAAAGTCTAGATCTGTGCTGTGTTTTGTGGTAGGATGAGTTCGTACTGAGACAAATTCTAGATATGTGCTCTGTTTTGTGGTAGGATGAGTTTGTACATAGACAAAGTCTAGATCTGTGTTCTGTTTTGTGGTAGGATGAGTCTGTACATAGACAAAGTCTAGATCTTTGCTGTGTTTTGTGGTAGGATGAGTCTGTACATAGACAAAGTCTAGATCTGTGCTGTGTTTTGTGGTAGGATGAGTTCGTACTGAGACAAAGTCTAGATCTGTGAATTAGGGCAGTTTCCTCATGACAGGTGCTGCAACACTTGTCATCACTTATTCTACTGTTGTGATAATGAGGTAATAAAATGATGTCCTCAAAAGTTCACATAATAAACCCCAATATCACAATACAAACACCATCCATCTCTCAATGAATTAAGTCTATTGAAGTATAAGCAATTATTAATCTTCATTTATATATATAATTATATACATGTATTTACATTTCACAGTTTCTTTAATAAACCAACATTTCAAAGAAGTTCGGTTTAACATCACAATATAGATTTTTAAAAAATTAGGTTATTAAAGAAAGTAAATACATGTAAAAGCATTGATTTAAATTTTTTTTATGTATTACATGTCCACAAGTCACACAGATTAGCATCCAAGTACTCATCATGTAAATACATGTATCTGTTGTATTTATTTTGTGCCCACCTTCAAGACTTCCTGCATCATGCAACACAAAAAAATGATTCATTGCTTAAAGTATTCAATTAACAATTATTTATTAGGAAAATGAACAGGGACATTGGTAGTGTACATTGTATGGCTTTTTCCATCTATCAAGATTTTCAGCCTGTCAGTGGCAGATTCAGAAATGGGAAGGGGAGGGGGGAAGTGTAGGGTATCTTGTTTTCAGCACTCATCATGCCCCCCCCCCCCCCTTTCACCTTTTGCCAAAATCTGGATCCACCCCTGACTGTTAATTTTTTTTCTGGAAATTCATGATAAAACTTGATTGGTAAATGATATAATGTGTAATTGGTAAAATGTGACAATCTACATGTATATTTGAAATCTCTGTTCATTTACAAGGACATGCTTGAACTCTGATTTACACAGTATCTCCAGCTGCAGAGCATGGCATGTGTTTTGAGGTTTCTTTGTGTGATTTGATGAGGTACTCCGGCAAAGTCAGTTATGTGTGGGAGTTGCAAAATGTTTTAAAATCTCAGGATATGATGTCTTTTACCTTGAACAGGTGTGAAGTTTATTTATTATTTTCATTAATGAGTTAATAGATCCAGATCACTGCAGATAGAGACTGTGTAACATAAGAGTAAAAATGATCATTATTGTGTAATGTATCTTAAATGAGATTGGCTAATGGAGAAGCATTTAAAATTTGATTCACAATAATTTGACTCATTTAGTGACCGTACCTGACCTTAGTCATTGGGTTTTGTCAGGTCAGGTCACCTATGGGTCCTCGATCCTCATTTCTCCATCTTGATCACATTAGGAGTACAGTTGTATGTGTTATTGAGCTGTACATGATCTACATGTATGACTGTGTTTTGTAGATGAGAGCGACAGTGATGTGGAAATACTTAGGGAAGAGAAGAACGAAGATCTGGATGTGATTATTGTCGCAGAAACAACGGTGAAGCCAGTACCAAGATTAGGGATGGGAACCAGTGGTATGGAACAGGTCAAGTCTGGTCAGTCCTGCGAGGGCATGAGGCCGGAGGTTCGAGTTGACCTGTCACTGGACGAATGCACGAATGATGACAGCCTCCCTACAGTCACCACACCTCTAGATCTGTCCTCCAAAAAATGCTCCGGAGACGACTCTGACCTAGATCTGGATACCGGCAGTTCTTTCTTAACAGAGCAGACTGCTAGTACTTTATCAGACTTCCTTAAAGAGTCATTTCCCCCTAATGTCAAAATACTACCCAAGTCTGACAATGTATGTGTACAACCCAACTGTGATAATTCTGACCCTAAAACCATGGACGATCACATAGACACTTATCCCAAGAAAGTAGACCTGTATGACAGTTCCCTTCTGCCTGGTTCAGGTCTCCCCTCTACAGATCTGCCTGTTACGGGTCACCTCCCTGCTGTCATTCCTCCCAACACCAGTGTCGGTGATATCCCGGTGTCTTTCTCTGAAAACATTAGAAAACATTCTGGCAAACGTGCATCTTCATCAAGTGATGAAGTTTGTGCACTTAAGAAAGTGAAAAAGGAGGAAGACCTGTTTAATAGTGAGGCATGGAAGTCACTAGATTTGGACTTTTTGTCCGAGTCGAGCACTACTACCTACCAACACACCAACAGTTGCGATACCAAAAGTCCACCAGTTTCCAGTGCAACTCCAGGCAGTGCCCTGCATGGACGGTCATACAGTGTCTCCTCAGAAACATTCACCAAACATCTGCCTCCCAAAAAACAGAGCTGTTTCCGTCAGGCCAGTGACCCAGGGTTCAGTCCCGTGGCCCGTCCCCCATCACCCCAGCCTTCATGCAGCAGTTGGGGGTCTGAGAAGTGTACCAGCTGTAATATATCCCTCCTGGGGTTCAGAATCTCTCGATGTATACAGGGGCACCCGACCTGTGCCTTCTGTCTAGAGGAACAGGTCAAACTTGTCCTGACCGGCAAAACCAAGGTAAAATATCTCAATACTGAAATGCAGCAAACTTGTCCTGACAGGCAAAACAAGGGTAAAATATCTCAATACTGAACATGTCAAACTTGTCCTGGCAGGCAACAGGCCCTGAGAGCCGAGTAAAGGTCTAAATTTGAAGCCCTTCACCGGTATATGAGTGAAATATTCTCAAACGGGACATAAAACAACATACAATCAATCAATCAATCAATCTACTGAAAAATTTGTATTTTCTAATTTCAAACACACTGTAGTTGCATTTGCTACTGTCTGATTAAAGTAAACCTTGATAGGTAACAAATGTGGCCACAGGAAGTCATGAACTAAAAACATCTTTCATTTTAATAACTAATCAATGGTGTAAAATATCCATAGAATTTGAGGTTCTTTTGATGTTCTGATGACCAGGTTCCTTTGTGTACTAGCTGTGTAAAGCTAAAACGATTGAATTCTATTGACCTGAATAAAATGTTTGGATCTTGAGATATTGTTGACATACTATTATTTTCTATTTTTAGAAGTCACTTTTGTGTGTACTTGGAGGTTGTGACAGTTACTATCCTATGAGTAAGTACTAACTACTATCCCATGAATAAGTACTTACTACATGTACTATCCTATAAGTGAGTTCTAACTACTGTAAAATGATATATTTTTATGAGATCAAATTGTGGTTTGAGAAAAAAAGTATTGGTTCTTGGGGATTTGATTTTGTGGAAGAAGAGGTGAAAATTTACATTTACAGGATATAAACTTGTGTATCTCTGTACCTTGAAAATTAACCCCCCCCCCCCCCCCCCCCTCCCCCATGAAAATATGTGATTTCTCAGTACTATACATCACAAAGAACAGGGAAAATATGTAAGTGAACCCTAAAACTAGATGTCTAGATTATCTGTATGTTTATTTTTTATGTTCTGGATATTATAATATAGGTCACTTTTTTTCCACTTTCAATTTTTTTATTTGGAGAGTCCTGTTTGAAAAAAAAGGAAAAATTTATAAAATTGTGAAATGAATTTATTTTTTGTATAATATACATCCTCGCAAGCCAGGGGTCCTGAGTCAACACGTTGCCATTGGACCCTTGGCATATTTCATTCAGTATTTATGGGCTGACTGTAGCGACGTCTTTCGGAAAAATTACAAATCTTGATTGTTTTTCTTATCTCTCAACCAATCACATTAAGCCATTCTATGATAAACAACTTGTAACACATGCATTTGAGGTGTCAACTGAATCCTTATCTAACTAAACTATTTATGAAAGCTTTAATTTGATTGGTGCTTCTCAATGAGAGAAGCAAGCCCACGAATATTGAATGAAATATGCCAGGGGTCCAACGGCAATGTGTTGACTCAGGACCCCTGGCTTGCGAGGATGTATAATATATAGCAATGTTCAAATCTATGATACCTTGCAAACCTGGTGAGATAGTGTAAAATCATATATTTTCGTGGGTCACATTTTCAAGGTCTGAAGAAAAGAGATTGATTCGGAGGGATTTAATTTCATGGTTTGGGAACTGTTGAGTAGAGAGGTATATATAATTTTACATTTCGTGGAGGACATGAATTCATGGATGTCTTCATCCATCGAAAACAACAAAAATTAAATCTCCACGAAATAAGTGATTTCACAGTACACAAACCATTTGAAAATAATGAAACATAGGAGACATTCTTAAACAAATCCCATTTAATTTGTAGGCGAGTTGAAGCAGTCTCTCCCCAGTATGGTTGTTGAGATCTTGGAGACCAAACTAGATGATGACTACATCGAATACATAGCCAATATGATAGCCAAGAAAACCTCAGATGATGTGGAGGACGAAGGACCAGAGGGCAGTACCAGCGAATGGGAGGAAAAGCCAGAGGTTAAAGAGGGAGAGGAGGAAAGACCAAGAAACCCAGAGGACTGGCCACCACACTGGGAGTACATGGAACCAAGACAGGTGGGTAGTACAAAGAAAAGTCAGCTGGCCACCACACTGGGAGTACATGGAACCAAAATAAGTAGGTAGTACAAAGAAAAGTCAGCTGGCCACCACACTGGGGGTACATGGAACCAAGACAGGTAGGTAGTACAAAGAAAGGTCAGCTGGCTGCCACATGGGGAGTAGGATCCACAGGTAAATTATACGAAGGAAGGTCGGCTCTGGATTTATAGCATGATAATAGGAATTTAGATACGCATTATCTGTTGACAGGTACTTTTCAAAGACGTAAAGTAGTGTATGAGTACTTATGACTGATCAGCTTTTTAAAATATTTGTTATCATCAGCCAATAACTCACTATATGATGTGTATAAGATGGGTGCCCTGATCATAAAATTTTGCTTGTTGAGAATTGGGTGTCTAACAAATTTATGCATAAAAGATGTCACCAATAATAATAAATGATTTTCTGTAGTATCGCTTGTTTATAAGTTTTCTATGGTTGTGTTGACAGGGGCATGTAATGGTGGATCTGGTGCCAGATTCTCCAGAATACATAGAAGTTTGTTCCAAGTTCTACGAGACATTACAGTTCCCTCAGGCAGATATCGTCAAGATTAGTCGAATTCAGAATCCGATTCTGTGGAAATACTTCACAGTGTAAGTAAAAAACATATGAGAGCATCTTCTGTAAACTTAGCATGTACTGTAAACTCTGCATCTACTGTAAACTCAGCATGTACAATAAACCCACAGATACCTTAAAAATGAACTGTAAACTCTCGTAATTATAAACAGCATCTACTGTAAACTCTGATAAACATAATATGTACAGAGAGCATATACTGCAACACAAATATACCAGTATGTAGTGTGTTCTCTAAACCACCACAAATATGTACATTATGTACTGTAAATCACCAAAAATATATACATCATTTACTGGAAACCACCACAAATATGTACATCATGTAATGTAAACCACCAAAAATATATGGATCATTTACTGGAAACCTTTACATATATGTACATCATGTTATGTAAACCACCAGAAATGTGTACATCATGTACTGTAAACCACCACAAATATGTACATCATGTACTGTAAACCACCACAAATGTGTACATCATTTACTGGAAACCCATACATATATGTACATCATGTACTGTAAACCACCACAATTGTGTACATCATGCACTGTAAACCACCACAAGCATAAAAAGTATGCATGTTAAATACCACAGATAATCTGTACATCATGTTCTGTGTAGTATCACAACTATTCATAACATATACTGTACAGCACCACAATTGTATTTATAAATGCTTACAGCTTGGTCCAATTGAAGTTGATCTTGTTCAGTCCAGCATTTTGGCAAAATTCAATAACTAAATATTTTTCTACGCTTCAAACACAGTTGTCATCCTGTGCATGAGGGAGACATCACAAATTGTCTCCCTGCATGTGACATGTTCTAAACCAATTAGATTGACTGTATAATTCTGAAGGATAATAAAAAGTTTTATTACCAACAGGAAGAGAACAGAGATGATTCACGAGAATGACGGATTGGCGGTGGCAGAGAAGCACCTGTTTCATGGGACTGATGCTACCGTCCTTAGTGCAATCTGTAAGAAGGGATTTGATTGGCGGATGTGTGGCAAAAATGGGACAGTGTATGGCTATGGTAATCTTCCTTTGTCATTTTATACCAATTAAAACATTAGCGTTTATTTGTCTGAATAATTTATACCGGCTCGCCTTCATTATTACTTTCCCTTAAGGATTTTAACAATTGAAATCTGTGACAATTGTCTTCTAAATCCTTCTTAAAGCTCATCTTCTTGGATCAAAGCTTGTCTGTTGTCTGAAAGATGAAGAACCATCCCAAAGGGAGATTATTAGAAAGAGTGAAAATTTGATGAACTTATTAGATAAATTCTTTTAAATCATTGAGTCAGAAAAGACAAAAATAGACCTGGTAAATGAGTTGGGACAACTGATATTCCTCAGATGCATCATGACTTCATATTAAAAATTTTCTATGACAAAACAAGTACATATATATATATAAAGATGAGCATTTTTAACACATTGACTAGAGTTTATTCATTTAAAATATATGATTGAGATACCCAGGTTTTTCTGTATACACAGCATCTTAATTTCACAATTTCCTCTCTCTTTTGAAACTTGTAAAGGTTGTGTGCACATGAAGGAAAGTCTCTTTTTTTTAGTAAGTGTCCCAAATGCTCACTGCTCAGAGCAACTAAAGTAAATGGCTTGCTTTTTTTTCTGTTATAGTTTTATTGTGCTATAGATTTTTGATTTGACATTAGTATATATCTAGATGTAAATTTTCTGTGTGATTTTGTTGTAGGTTCTTATTTTGCCACACACTCCTCCTACTCTCACCAGTACACAGAGAAAGGTGATCGTCGCCGGCCAAACTATAGGAGAGCCTTACATCAGATGGGCATGATCCCATTTCATCCCTTCACGAGCCCAGTTCGCACAGGTCCTTTCTCCTTCGGTCCATCTCAGGTTGTGGTTTCATCATCCTTGTTCTCCCCTCGTCGTTTGTACACCTCAACAACGCTGTCCAATCCCGCTCCATCGTCCACCAATGGGAGTGATGATAGTAACACCACTGCGAGTTTCTTCCCTGGATTAACGTCATCTAAGACATACGTCCTGCAGTATAACTCGGGGTCAGGGTCTGGGGACTCAGCCTCCAGCAGTTCTTCAGGTCCGGGGCAAAATGGAGTCCAAACTCAGAGAAATCATTGGAACTTTGGCAGACATAGATTACTTGGTACATCATCTGGGACAAGTCAAGATGCCATGTCTAATCCAAATCCTTCTAACAGTAACACTCAGACCACAATACAGTTTAATAGTTCTACTGTATTTCAGCCTGCCCCTCTGGGTAGCACTCCTCTAACTGATCAGAATCCATCATTTGGTGCTCAGAATGTTATGACCAATCAGAATTCATCACTTAGTGCCACTCAGAATGCAGGCAATCAGATGTGTTCTAACATCTCTATACAGGACCAGACAATATCACCTTCTGCTGGGGCTTCCTCCTCTGTCCAGAATCTACCAATCACAATGATGCAGGGTTCTCTAGTGAATCAAGTTTCCTCCCAGCCTTCAAATCCAGGCCCTTCTCAATCTCTGAATCTGGGACCCTCACAGTCCCTTAATCTGGGACCTTCCCAGTCGCTGAATCCTGGATCCTCCCAGTCACTGAATCCTGGACCCCCCCAGTCACTGAATCCTGGACCCTCCCAGTCACTGAATCCTGGACCCTCCCAACAGGATTCTACAACAGTTCTAGGGATCCTGGATCAGATTACATTTCGTAGTGGGGGTCAGTCTAAAAGACTTCAGGCACTGCATAACAAACTTCGGTCTTATAATGTTCACCAGCAAGCTGCAGAAGTGGAGGAGAAGACTCTACATAAAATGTTCATGGCGAAGGTGTTAGTCGGAAGGTTTACGGGAGGAAGCAGCACGTACAGGAAGCCTCCGCCATTAGACCCAGTCAATGATCCATACGGAAAATGTTACGATTCCTGTGTAGACAATATTCATAATCCGAAAGTATTCGTCATCTTCGACAGCAGTCAAGCCTATCCTGACTACCTCATAGAATACAATTACTCCTCTTAAATAGGACTTAAAAATGTCTTATAAGTAAGTTATAAGTGACTTAAAAATGGAACTAAGAGGTATGTTTACGTGTTAAATTGACCAGTACTATGATTGATGACAAATCAGAAACTGATAGAAGTGTTTTATAGCTGGCATCCTGATTAATGAAACAATGCAATGAGGAAAACAAAAAAAAATCTGTTTTGATTGTTAGCCTCTATTTAGTGCTTAGTGCGTTTATATGCAAATCATAGTGTTAACAATTTTATCTTACTGCAAAAGTGTGAGTGATTTATTTGTACAAAAAATATTGTTACTTAGCATGCATTTCTTTAAAAGTGAGTTGAGTGTTGTTGTGCTCAAGACTGTGGTTGTTACAGTTATTTCCCCCTGAATTTTGTAAATTCAGCCTGAAGTTTTTATTTTTGTGTGTGTATGTGTTTATGCTTTCCTAAGTTCATATGTTGTATGTTAATATATTGTACCAAAAAATATCTTAAGTAGATCAGGAAAAATTAGTGTTGTATGTTGTTATAAATAATGTTATTTTGAATGAGACTATAACCTTTTGTTTTTGGAGAGTGTGTTTTAGTGCCAATATTGTATCAATATCTGGAGTTCTGTTTTTGTTGACAATCTTTGTCATATTCTGCATACGTTTTTTCTTATTAATCTACCTGACAAACTTAGCTATTTGTACATTGTTGACCTAATATATGCGTATAATATAAGTAATACGTGCTTAACTTTAGATTAAAAGATGTGAAACAAATATTTAAAAATGAATGAAAAACTCCCAGAAAAAAGGCAACCTCAGAGTTTGTGAAGTGTGTGTGTCTAAATATGAAGGGGCACCTGTTGATTAGGAGCTGAGTGAATGAGAGTTCAATTGTTTTAGTGTATGTTGAGTTAACATTGTTGAAAAATGATAAGGTCCCAATATATTTGTTTTTGGGAAAATTTGTTTTTGGGAAAAAAATGTGCTATTAAAAAAAGAAAAAAAATTGGTAATATCTTTTAAACCAGTCTTCAAACAAAATATATATTTAGATGGATTTGAAATATTAAGTATATGTGTGTATTTTAGCAATGAGTTTGTAGTTGTGACAGTCAAGTCTCCGATACTTAGCCTACTGACATTCAATATCAAGGTTACACTGTAGACACCTATTTTTATAATACATAATATATATACATATTGTGTCCTGCTTTTTCATTATCTACAGATAACAATCTCATACAGTTATCCAATGATCAGTGTGCTATGGTAGAGTGTTTCTGATTTTCCTGTTCAAATATAAATTGGAATTCTCCCCCCTTAGTTGTTATTTTCAGAAAAATGGAATATTTTTTTGAGTTGGGGCATTTTTTGAGGTATTTTTGAAGGGAATACACAGAATAAAATTTTGAGTTTGGCTTTACATAATACTGAGAGTTTTTGATGAGGCTCGTATTATATTTTTTTTTTATGAGCATACATGGGGTTGAATATTATATAATGATTGTGGAAAAAAAATCTACATTCCAAATCATTTGTGTGATTTGCCTTTTTTTTTTTTTATAAATGGAATAATTCAGTGATGCTTACAGATTTTGCTTGCATTAGTCATAGCTTGTAGTGTTAGTTTAACTTTATTGAGAAGTTTGTTTGTATTGTTTTCAGTGTGTGCAAGACCTATGTGAAAAATTAAACATTTCATTTATGATGAAATCAATGTGATGTGATAAAAGGACTGTGAGTGTACATAACAGTGGTTGACATGACTTAGTGACCTAATAAATGATTAATTAAAAGTGTTTGATTTTTAATCATTGTGTTAGGATGTAGGCTAAGGGTTGAGTACATATTTCTTTAATTCCATGTGAAAGGAACCTTCACAAAATAAATATTAGTAGCATTTTATGTTAATCTACTTTAATTTCAGGTTGATTTGATTACACGCATTATAACACTGTCTAATTCTCTCTGTATAATTAGGCCTCCAACATATTTTTGTCATTATGATTTTATGTGTGCATGTAAAGATTTTCTTCCTGAAAGTTGTTGCAAAGATTTTGTGACATTTTTCATGTATTTCCATTTAATAGTTGAGTAATGTAAGTTAGAAAAATTTTGTTTTTGTTTAACTCCATTAAACAACAATTTTTTTCAGTAAAATATTCCAAGAAAAAGAGATTTTTCATCACATGGGAGTCAGAAATTGTGTCATTTTTGAGATGCGACAAATTTTGTTAAATATTTCAACAAAGTATGCGTAAAAAAACAAGTTCAGAGTTTGATAAAAATAGTTTTGTTCAACTTAACAAGGTGCTTATTACTAATGCTGCAATAAATTAATATTTATACCTTTGATGGGTGTTTAAGATGGTGGTGTATTTGACAGGTGTGTTGTGTACCTGTAGAATTAAGAGAATTATGGTGTATTTATACACTTAAGGTTGTTTTGATGTATTTGTGTTTACTAACGCCGATTTCTGCTTCTCACATGTTGGAGCATTCTGGACAAGAAGAATGGGTCTTTAATTGGAAAGAGTGATCAACAATTAAACATTAAACAGTGAATATCTCTGATATTTCTGTTTTATTTTGGAGAATGTGCTTGTATATGTATTTAGCATTTTGTCATTTGTTAGTTTATCATGAAGTAAAACATAGCAGATATTTGTTTGAAGTATATTCAATGAAATAAAAAAAAAAACATTGCGTATAAATCTGAATTATTCCAAACCTGTGTGTTCTGGACCCCTGACCAGTAATCTACACGTGTCATTAAACTAGTTAATTATGGCCAGTTAAAAAGCAACAGCTGTTTTTTCTTTAAATGTTGTTTCGTCTGACGAGGGTTGCATCAAAGTATCAGCATCAAGCAAAATATATTACTGAATAAATTTTAGTACATGTAAAAACATTATTTGTTGGAAATTAGGTTAGAAAATGTGCATTCTGCAGGGAAAATTAATTAAATTGACTGTTTCTGGAGTATTGGCTTGAAATGAAAAGGGGTTTTCATTGATTTCTCGAGATGAAAGCATTGAACGTGAGTCATGTAGATAAGGGAGCACAGGAAAAAACACAAATTTATATTTCATATAAACGTTAATTTACAGTACGTGCTTGCACGATGTAAATCGTAATTCGGAGATGTTACCATGAATTATGTATGCAGACGACACGAGGAATCGTTTCTTAAACTATTTATTAGGTTTCCTAGTTTGTTGAAGACGATGGATGCTAACTATTCAATTAAATTAAACAGATGATCAATATAGATGAACTTTTAACTTGTTCTGTAACGTTTCCACAACTGCAGCTCAAATAAACCTGCTGTGTAGAACCCTCAGCATCTTCACGTTTTTTGGATCGTGCTCGGTTACGTTACAAGTGCGCATGTGTGAAATCTAACGCCGTTTGACTGTCACTCTGTCATTCTCATATGGTTCAATATAATCAACTGCCATCTACAGAACTATCGCAAGACTTTGTCCGATGTATTTAATTTTCAATGCCAAGTCACCTCTACTCATTAACAATAGTCATGGAAAGAGTAAACTTGACGTTGGATCTACATTCAAACTCCGGACACTGTCCAAACGTTACAGCGGGCGTTGACGGAATTTCTGGAGTGTTCGCGGTGGCTTCTACTGTTTATTTAGCTGTTCTCTCCATTGGAATCACATTCGGAAATGCACTTACGGTATTTGCTCTATGGAACAACAGTCTGATTTATAAGGAGACCTACTATTCCATCCTGTCACTGGCCGTGTCAGATTTCCTCATCGGCGTGGTGACAATCCCTTCCTACATTGCGTGGTTGTACTCCAGTCTGATAGATCTGGGACATGACTTGTGTTTAGCCATTATTGCTAGCTCCTTATTCCTCACAGTGGCTTCCATGCTTAATCTTCTGTTGGTTGGGATAGAGCGCTTCATTGCTGTTTGCTTTCCCTTAATGCACTTAAAAATTCGCGCCCGTAGAGCTCCCTTTCTGGTCTGTATCTGCTCCGTTTGGGTGTGCAGTCTTGTTGCGACTTTACTATCCATGCTGGCGGCCGATCCAGATTTTGAAACTTGCGCATATTACGACATATTTGACGAAACATTCCTAGTGAGTGCTATAGCATCTGGAGTTTTTCTTCCTCTGATACTGTTGTTGATGATGTACGCTTGTATCCACTGCAAAATACAATCACACTACAAGTTTGTTTCAAGGTCGTCGAAGAAATCCCGAAGCTCAAGTATGCAATCCTGGGAAACTGCGCGGATCAAAGCGTCATTCAAAACCTCCAAGACAATGGCCCTAGTGGTGATATGTTTTGCCCTTTGCTGGGGACCGCTGTTTATCACGATGTTGTTGAGGAGTGTCTGTCAATGGTGCCGCCTCCCGTGGGTCGCTAATGAGGTGATCCTTCTCCTGGGGTTTACCAATTCGTTCCTGAACCCCATCATCTACTCCCTCCGACATAAGACGGCCAGAACCTATGTGAACAGAATTTTGTACACCCCCTGTCATTTCTGAAACTCGAACACAAACAAATCTCTCCAGTTATGAGGATATTGTCTGTCAGTTCTTGTTTTCTCCCCTGAGACGGTTGTTCCTGAGGTTGTGGATGGCAGAAACACTCAACTGTATTGAGGTTTTTATTTGCTTTCCTACAAGATCAACAATTCCTAGGAATACTGAGAACTTTGCAATTACAAGTCAGTTACAATTACACTTAACTAGATGGAGATTTACAAAAGAATTATATTCCGATACTGTCTAGACATGTGTTTGAAGCATTCTCTCGACTCACTGTTACATTTTCCCAATTACATGTATGTTTATCTGAGGCATATGATTTATTCCATACTCGCCAATTATTTTGGTTAAATCACGCTGAAAATGGATCTCCAAAACAATTGGTAAATTCTCTCATCTACAATATGTAATTATAAATGCTGTTTCAACTTATTTTTTTTCATTGTTGTACAATTGCTGTACATTCTTTTGAAGACAATCTTAGTTTTTTTAGATAAAGAAATGAGTTTTGAAGAATTATGAACTATGTATGTTATGATTTAACCAGGGCAAGGGTTAAGAGCATGTGTGGCAAAGAGTTGATGCATACAGAGAATTTATTTACCCAATATGGTCTGACATACATGTATTTGCCGTTTAAAAACAATTGTATCATGTTCTACTTTGTACGTTAACGTTATTACCTCCTCTACTTGTAAATTACATTATAGATTTGTATGAGTATTATCTCTTAGCATGGTAAACACACCTATCTGAAATGAAAGTCACAAAATACATGTACATGGAATATTTCTTCAATGTCATTAACTTACTGTTATAATTATGGATGATTTATTTTTACAGAGGAAACTATATTCACACTGAATATATTTTAAAAATTGAAGTTATTTCTATACGGCATTGACGAAATTGAGCGAAATATAGTTTTGTAGGTGAAACTATACAATTATATGTTCATTACGTGTGAACTACAGTTAATTTTATATTATCTGTATTATTAAAAGATCTTAAACAATAGCTTGTAGTTTACACTATAGATATATTATACAAGTGTAGACTGTATCGAACAGACATTGTTTTAAGCTCGGTGAGAGAATATGGTTTCATAGACTGCATTTAGCACCACAAGATTTCGACTCAAAGGTATTGGTTACGGCTTTATATGACTACCAATTTACCAAGATTCACAAACTTTGTTTTACATTTTGACAAAAACGTCTTAAATATAATTAATTCTATCTTATATCGGAGTTGCCCAAATTCAATTCTAGAGGTAAACTATTCTTTTTTTTTCATTTCCGAGTCTGGACCAAATGTGAGTGGATTGCTTATTAATTTAGTCGGACACCTGTGTCTGTGAATTGTATTATCATCGATTCTATTTTCTGATGCAGAACATTTGGTTACATACTGTATTATATCACCTTATTTATCAGCAGTGGTTATTTTCGGTTCAATATTGTTAAAATTCAACTCTGGTGGGTAAATTTCTAGAATGTTATAGATATGATCAACTTCTTTTAATGAAATCCCCTGCTTAATGTTCTCTTACAAGTAATATCATTTACGGAAGAAAGGAAAAGCTCAAAAAAGTTCAGAACATGTTTATTAGAAATTTATTTATTTATTTTTTTTTTTTTTTAAAAGACATACTGGATAACGTGTATATATATTTTAATCACTAAATATGATTAATAGTAACACGCAGTGCAGCTTATAAGTTCTGGACCTCTTCTAGTGTAAATGTTACCACAAGATATTTAAATAATTAAAAGTGCTCGTTCTTTGTTTCCGATACGCTGATTCTTTACCTTAATTTACTAACCCTACTTTCTCAAAACAAGGTGCGTGATAACCATGCTTATAATGGAGACCCAATGGTTGCTTGTCCCGTGTAGGAGTCTCTCTAAGGAAGCTTATTATGTATACTTATTTAACTAAAATCAATGACCACCTCCTCTTACACAATCAAACTTTGCAAACTACGTTGTAAGAAAAATGTTTCGTAAAAGGTGCAATTATCGTTTGTAAGTGTAGGTGATATAAAGAAAAAAAGAGAAGAAAATATCATTTGAGCATTGTGTGACCCTCAAACTGGTAACAGATCTAGAACTAACTTCATTGATATTACATTTAATTAAGAGACAATGATGTTAGTTTTGTCAATAATTAATGATGTCGCTTTAAGATTCCTGTGAAAGAAACTGTAAGTTCATGTACGTCCTCGTGAACTACAATCGAAGACAATATGATGGTGCTCATCAATTAATAGGAAAAAAATCCTTCACAGTTTGTCAATTCTTGTGTGTTTGAATGAAATATTGTTGATTAATGTAATGTATTATAATTTAAAAAGTTCATACCATAGAAAATTTTTAAACTGACATATTTTTCAAATGAACATATTTACAATGTATAATTGCATATTTAATGAAAATTTGTGTGCATCTCTGTGCATCATCGATTGAAAAAAATTTGTTTAACGCTATATATTTACACTTGCAAATATTTCCCTTAGATGAACCTATTTATAAGGGGGTCAGAGGCTAATGATGATTTTCTGTCACAGTGATCGAAAATGGTTTCGGAACTTCCAGTTTGATAGCGATGACAAAGATAAAATAATTAAAACATATGGATATATTTTTGGATTGATTGTATGTTGTTTTACGTCCCATTTGAGAATTTTTCACTCATATAGAGACGTCACCATATACCGGTGAAGGGCTTCAAATTTTGACCTTTACTCGGCACTCAGGGCCATTGAGCAGTGAGGGATCTTCATCGTGCCAACGCCTGTCGTGACACGGGGCCTCGGTTTTTAAGGTCTTATCCAAAGGACCAGCAACTTTCACTTCAAAGTGCCGAGCGCATGGTTACCCATTTTTTTTTTTTATCGACTTAGGTCAGTCGCGGCCGAGATTTGAACTCACGACCTCCCGATCACGGAGCGAGCACTCTACCGACTGAGCTACCTTTTTAACCCGAAATTCTTTTGAAGGTATGTAAACTGAAACGGGCTTGTCTTCCGGATTGTTAAATGTAAAATAAAAATTATAATAACATTTTTAATTCGCTTTAAATACACTTAAAAGTTGTTATAATTCTGACACTTTCAGACAAGAAATACCGTAAGTAACACTAAGCAAGTCGTATTTAATTAAGCATTGAATCATTATTTATTTTGAAAGATTTTTAAACAATAAAAAGATTTCTTTGGTTATTAGCACGGGAATTAATGTCGCAGCTATTACAGAAAAAATACCTAACCCGCGTAAGCGTTTTTTTTTTTTTTTTTTTTTTTTTTTTTTTTTTTTTTTTTGTTTGGTTTTTTTTTTTTTTTTTTTTGATAAATTCTCTTTCGAAATATTTACAGTATTGTTATTTTTACATGCACCCTGCACACAGAGTTATTTTGTGCACTGAAATACCACTAGATATATATAGAAAGCGCAGAATATTACAATATTGGTTAAAATTAAGAAAAAGTAATATTTGTATATTGAGTGCATGTTATCAAGATATGGTGGAAAATAAAGACCCCTGGATCATGAGTATAAAAAATGACACTCTAGGTTTGGGTGACTTGTACCATAGTAATCAAAAAGATAGTATTATATTAGACATAACATACAATAGAATGTGTGATGTTTTTAAACAAAAAAGCTATATATCTGATATATGTAGATCACCAAAATGCATGTTATATAAGCATTTAGTTGACGATTTTTGTTTGCAAGGTTATTTAAAGAAACCTATACATGTAAAATACAGAAAAGCAATTACTTGTTTTAGACTCTCAGCACATAATTTAAAGATAGAAACGGGAAGGTATGATAATTTAATAAGGAGTAATAGGAAATGTGATTTATGTAATTTAAATGATATTGAAGATGAATTTCATTTTTTATTCATTTGTCCAGTTTTTCATGATTTAAGAGACAAATTCATAAAACATTACTACTCCCGAAGACCAAGTGTCTTTAAACTAATACAACTATTTTGTAGTACAAATACCAAAGATGTAAATCAGTTAGGGAAATATATATCTCATGCTAATAAATTACGATTAGAATGTTTAAAACAATTAGCTAAATAATAGAATGTATGTATTGCTAATAAATTACGATTAGAATGTTTAAAACAATTAGCTAAATAATAGAATGTATGTATCGCATGTTTGTAAGTGTATATCATGATATTGTACTATGTATGTAACTGATAAATATATTATATTGTATACTGTAATGCCTATGGGATGTACGTACGTCCCACGGAATAAAGAACTGAACTGAACTGAAATGTTTTATGCTGGTCCTTAATTATATATTAAATTAACTAATATACACAAGTAATACTCAATTACTGGAATATTAATTAATACATATTAAATAACGATGTCAACCGCCATACTTCCATACTTTCAAGTTACCCCAAAGAAATGACACGGCACACCCTCTAGTCTCTTGGCAACTTTAATGGCGAAGGTGAGTACTTTCTAATATACTTTAAAACGAAGATATTACACAGATCAGAATTTCGAGATCTCTCGATCAATGAATTTGAGCTTCAACATGATCTTTGATGAGGTTTCTTTCTATTTCTACCCAAAGAACAACTTTTGAAGCAAATCTGGGTTGTCTCTCTGGACAAAAGCATGCAACCCATTCCTGAGTGTAACTCTAAAATGCATAAAACTACTATGAAATAGCTCTCTTTTGTGTGCAGTGTTTAGAGCTTCCTCAAGTGATCTGTCCTGTAAGTAGGAATAAAAGGAAAATATACAGTTAACCAAGCAATTTGAATTAGATCAACATACCGGTATTCTTAATTAACATTATGAAATATGAAGATAATAGGGTAATGAACAGCTAATCAAGCTCAAAGGTCCATTGAAACAACAAATATTGTGAGCAGAGCAAATGGGACCCCTGAAAATGTCAGGGGTGGGTTCAGATGCCACTGAGGAGTAAGCTTCCCGTGTCCACCGGTCAAACTCGCCGAGTGTACCGCTTGTCATGATCGAGTAAACCGAGGCCCCGTGTCACGTCTCACTGCTCAATGGCCTTGAGTGCCGAGTAAAGATCTTTTGAAGCCCTTCACCGGTATGTGGTGACGTCTCTATATGAGTGATAAATTCTCGAACGGGACATAAAACAACATTCAATTAATCAATATATGATATGGACCATGTAAACGTGCAAAACTTTAATGGGCTTCCATATTTTTTCTTAACTTCAAACTCGGCTTCCATATTTCTAACTTTAGTATCTTAAATATTCTCTACAAATTTTGTTATTTAAGCTTTTTTCTTTCCTTACTTGCAGTCAGTCAAACTTGTTACAAAAACATACATTATCTTTTTTATAATATGCTACATTAATTTATACGAAACTATCGCACAACGTAAACAAATGATTTCGTAAGATGTTGCGGAATACCACCTGGAACAAAATGAGGACGATCCGGTCCTTTATCCGACAATCCTACAGAATGAAACAATTTATAGGAAACCAAGGTTTCCGAAGACTCCTTCATATTCTGACAGGGTCGCATCTTACATTTTATATGATGCACAGAGCCGCGACAACACTAGAGGTAAGCTGGTAAGCATGGGAAAACCGAATTTCCTCGATCAACATAACAGAAGTTAAAATGGCTATGATTTTCCAAACCATGAACTTCCAAATAAATGATTTGTACTTAATATTTGATTTCAAGTATTTAGATTGTGATTTTAGAAATGAATGTATTGTATTCGCACTTGTGGAATTTTCACAATTCACTATTGTGGAATTTTATTCTTTTTTCTAGATTCCCAATCTAGATGACTATTCTACATCACAACTTCTCCAGAACTCTAGTGTAGCCAGTACTGAGGCGGCGTCAACTCTGTTAACTTATGTCACCATGGCTCTGTTTAATGCTGAGAAGGAATATGTAAAGGTAGTATAATATACTGAGATTTTTACCTGCAAGCTTGTCAAATGTGTCATTAACTGATTCAGGTGAATTAAAGAAATGTTTTTATTGGTTTAATAAACATCACAAAAATTAAGCAGCAACAAAAAATGTCAGTCAAACCTTATTATCTCAAATGGGACTGAGATATTTGAGGATTTGAGATATTGGAGGGTAAAATACGTACAGAATAAAAGGTTAATACTTCCAAATCACTTCTACATATCCCTGGTATTTGAGATATCAGTGTTTGAGATATTGAATTTCAACTTTAATTCAAAAATTCAAACTGAAAACAATAATAAGAGCACTGTGAGCTTAAATGTGTTCTGCAAATTTTGCTTTAAAAACTTTACAGTCTGTACTCCATTATGCAGGACACTGAAGTAAAGAAAATGGATGTTAGAGTTTTATGATTTTTATAACTGCTAGAACTGTGGAAGGTCATATTTTCATACTAAACTCATAGCTCACAGCCATAAGTTTTACAACCTTCAACCAATTTATTTCAACAATATTCAGGCCACAGTAATGTTCAGTATCTCCATATATTTCAGTATATTTTTTTAAAGATGGTAGTAAGAATTCTTTTTAAAATGTTTAAAAGTATGACCATTGTTTATTTGCCTTATAGGGGTATTATTCCCTTTAGGACAGTTCTATATTAGTTTGTGATTTGGTAGTTATTAAACATATCAGTTATTAAAGATATAAACAGTAATTTTTTTTTATCCAAGGCTTTGATTTAAGTTTTAAATTCTAAACCCCTTCACTCCAAAAATCTGAAAATTCTTCCATCCGCAGGAAACCTGCGAAAATCATATGTGCAAGTGAAGTTATTTCAGGGCATCAAAAAATGCTCTATTCATGATATGATTCTCTGATATGCTATAAATATAATCAGTATTTACAACTGTCTTTTAATTTTTTACTTTTTAAGGGAGTCTACCTCCTGATCAAGTTGATGGAAGTGCGGCTGGAGAATCCAGGTCATCCGGATCAGGACAAAATGGATGAACTTATCATTGAGTCCCGAATCAGTGTCAAAGCACTAAGGAAGAAGAGACAAGTATGTACAGTGTCTCATTATCTTTGTATTGATAACTAAACACAGAGTCCAGAATTAGTGTCTAGACACTGAAGAAGAGGAGACAAGTATGTACAGTGTCTCATTATCTTTGTATTGATATCCGATCACAGAGTCTATAATCAGTGTCTAGACACTGAAGAAGAAGAGACAAGTATGTACAGTGTCTCATTATCTTTGTATTGATATCTGATTACTGAGTATATAATCAGTGTCTAGACACTGAGGAAGAAGAGACAAGTATGTACAGTGTCTCATTATCTTTGTATTAATAACTGATCACAGAGTCCAGAATTAGTGTCTAGACACTGAGGAAGAAGAGACAAGTATGTACAGTGTCTCATTATCTTTGTATTGAGAACTGATCACAGAGTCCAGAATTAGTGTCTAGACACTGAGGAAGAAGAGACAAGTATGTACAGTGTCTCATTATCTTTGTATTGATATCTGATCACAGAGTCTATAATCAGTGTCTAGACACTGAAGAAGAAGAGACAAGTATGTACAGGTGTCTCATTATCTTTGTATTGATAACTGATCAAAGAGTCCAGAATTAGTGTCTAGACACTGAGGAAGAAGAGACAAGTATGTACACTGTCTCATTATCTTTGTGTTGATATCTGATCACAGAGTCTATAATCAGTGTCTAGACACTGAGGAAGAAGAGACAGGTATGTACAGTGTCTCATTATCTTTGTATTGAAAACTGATCACAGAGTCCAGAATTAGTGTCTAGACACAAAGGAAGAAGAGACAAGTATGTACAGTGTCTCATTATATCTTTGTATTGATAACTGATCACAGAATCCAAAATTAGTTTCTAGGCACTGAGTAGATAAGTATGTACAGTGTCTCATTATCTTTGTATTGAGAACTGATCATGAAGTTCAAAATCGGTGTCCAGACACTGAGGAAGAAGAGACAAGTATGTACAGTGTCTCATTATCTTTGTATTGAGAACTGATCACAGAGTCCAGAATTAGTGTCTAGACACTGAGGAAGAAGAGACAAGTATGTACAGTGTCTCATTATCTTTGTATTGATATCTGATCACAGAGTCTATAATCAGTGTCTAGACACTGAAGAAGAAGAGACAAGTATGTACAGTGTCTCATTATCTTTGTATTAATAACTGATCAAAGAGTCCAGAATTAGTGTCTAGACACTGAGGAAGAAGAGACAAGTATGTACAGTGTCTCATTATCTTTGTATTGATAACTGATCACAGAATCCAGAATTAGTGTCTAGAAACTGAGGAAGAAGAGACAAGTACGTACAATGTCTCATTATCTTTGTATTGATAACTGATCAAAGAGTTCAGAATTAGTGTCTAGACACAAAGGAAGAAGAGACAAGTATGTATAGTGTCTCATTATCTTTTATATTGATAACTGATCATAGAGTCCTGAATCAGTGTCTAGACACTGAGGAAGAAGAGACAAGTATGTACAGTGTCTCATTATCTTTGTATTGATAACTGATCACAGAATCCAGAATTAGTGTCTAGACACTGAGGAAGAAGAAACAAGTATGTACAGTGTCTCATTATCTTTTATATTGATAACTGATCATAGAGTCCTGAATCAGTGTCTCGGCACTGAAGAAGAGACAAGTATGTACAGGTGTCTCATTATCTTTGTATTGATATCTGATCACAGAGTCTATAATCAGTGTCTAGACACTGAGGAAGAAGAGACAGGTATGTACAGTGTCTCATTATATCTTTGTATTGATAACTGATCTCAGAGTCCAGAATGCACATTCTAATTTTTTACTGAAGTTTCAATTCATCAATGCATATGACACATGACAGTACTTATATTAGTACTTAAACATGAAAATCTTCATCTATTGAACTCACTCTCTTTTCCACATTCCTTAATTCTGCTATGATTATCCATAAAGTCACTGATACATGTAACAGACAACAATTCACTTAAAACTGTTAAAACTAGACTGGTCATTTTAAAGAGCATATAATTTTTTCAGAACCTAATGTCAGATAAAAAGAATTTTTTTTATAAGATTAAGAATTCATTAACCAGACAAGAATAGATAAATGTTTTTAACAGCATTCAAAATTTACCAGCATATATTAAACATACATGTAGAGTCTAGTTATTATCACTGCCATCAACTTCAGGTATTTTATAAAGGATACCTAGTGAAAATATAAACTCTTAGATGATATATACTTTTTTAATTCAAATTTTCGACCTCAGATTCTTTCTATAGCGCACTACTGCACTCCTTTATGATTACTGCCAAAATATAATGAAGGTTAATTAATGTCAGCAAAAGTATAGTGATTGAGCCAGTTCTTGTCCTGTAGATGCATTTAAATTTGTATATTCTGATATACGTAATAAACATACATGAAGTATTGAAAACACTGACATGTTTGTTGTCTCCATTGTATTAAACAGTACAGTAAAACACGCTTATAATGAATCATGTCGTTTATAACGCACTTTGCTATAAGTGTGTCTTACTGTATATGCCTTTCATGATTGAATCACTTCTTTAAGGACCTAGTGATGTTGCTGTCGGTTTGTCAACGACTCGTCAACGATGCAGCTGAAGCTGCTTACATGGCAGGTAAAGCATTTTTATAGAACATTAACTGATAGATTTTCACTTCAATGGTTCAGATAAACCATTTCTATAGAACATTACCTGAAAGATTTGTCACCTGAATGGCTCAAGTAAACCATTTATATAGAATATTACCAGACAGATTTATCACCTGAATGATTCAAGTAAACCATTTTTATAGAATTTAACCAGACAGATTTTTACCTGAGTGGTTCAGGTAAACCATTTATATAGAATATAACATGACAGATTTGTCACCTGAGTGGTTAAGGTAAAAAATTGGCATAAAATATAACCTAAAACATTTGTCACTTGAATGGTTCAGATAAACTACTTGTATAGAATATTAACTGACAGATTTGTCCCCCGATTGGTTCAGATAAACCATTTACATAAGTATATCCATTGGTTTTTTACCTGAATGGTTCAGGTAAATGATCGTTACCTACAGCATATGTTTTGTTTTTGTTCTGTTTTTTTCTTAATGCATCAAAGGAAAAGATTATGAGGAATACTTACTAGTTAGTATCTAAGTCCCTGACTGGAAAAAGGAAAAAAAAGTCTATACATGATATACTCAACGCATCCTAATAAATTAGGCTTACATAGAAGTGTAGGTTTTTTCTGTTAGGAGCTGAATTTTCTGGATATTCTACCAACAATAAACTAACCAGTAGCGAGGCTTTTCTGAAACCTTGTGAAATGGAGCGTCTGATGGCAGAGTCACATTTAGCGGAAATGGAGGCGCGTGTCATTGAAGTAGAGTCAAAACGCGCAAAAGAAGAGGAAGCTAGGGACAAACAGGAAGAGGAAGTGAAAGATGACGCGGCTCCTGAGATCAAAATAACAGAAGAAAAAGTAACAGTGCAATCTGAACCGGAAGTGGTGAGTGGTACGACGTTTGACCTTCCCCCAACAGACGGTACACCTGTGGCTGACAATTCTAGTGCCGCTTCTCCTAACGTCAGAATGAACTATGTAGAGACGTTCAATATAGGTTCAGAAGATGATTCGTTAGACGATGATTAATTACTGTGAATTATATCACTGAGAATATTTATATTTTTTCTGGATAGATAAACAATCTTTAAAATACTTGGAAGTTGGTGATTTTTTATTTTTCAAAAATCACCAAGCTGATGTAACAATTAGTTGATCAATTTATTAAATATCTGTGTAACTGATATACAAGATGTACAGTTTTACTTGATTGTATGAATCTTCTCCCCATCCCAACGCCAAAGGTGCATATATATCGACTTTTGCAACCATCAATCTAGTGGTATACCCAATCATTACAAAATTATTCACACTGGTATCTAGCAAAGACGAAGCTTCTCTTTTGAAACTGTTCATGAATCCAAACAATGGAGTACAGTAGGTAACACCACGGTTCCCACTATCTGCATATTGGTCATAATCTCCCTCCTTTTTCCTCTCTTGCATTCATTGCAAAAGTGTGGTCCGTAAATTAACCGGGGATTGTTGCACTGGAACTTGATTACTTCTATATGAAAAACTGAAATCAAAATGTCTAACCATAAAAACTTAAAGGAAGAGACGATATAATGCAAACACCTTTGTGTTAAATAAATGAAATGGTATAAGTTATGGAATAAATGTTGTAAAAAACTTCTTTGGTTAGGATTTGGAAATATATAAATAAAAAGCAGTATTGGCAAAAATTAACAATCTATTAAAGATCTCGATTTACAAGTCTTTGTTATTCAGTGCAACGATTAAAATTCCTTTCAGTATATAAAATGTAAGGCAAAAGTAAATTTCAATCCTTTGGCAGGAAACTGACTGTTGCCATATGTTCTACATCGTTAAAATTATGATTGCCCATCAGTTGAACTTCCGATGTATATTAAGATAAGTGAATTGGTATATTTAATAATTATTGGTAGCTAAAAATAACATCGATTAAAATAAAGATCTATCTGAAGCCAATGGACGCTGTCAATTAAAGGAAAGTTAACGTATTTTTAGTGATTCCTGAAATTGATAGAAAGTCTGTATAATTCAATTTTTAAAGTTTGAATAGATAAAAGGTGAAAAAGTCCGACACCGAAGATTATCCGATCACTCGAATCTCTGCTACTTAACATAACTGGTGATTAACTTTTTGTCAATGTTATTACGTGTCATCGGGAAGACTGGAAAAAAGTGGAGAAAAAAAAATGTCATGTCACTTTGCACATCAATTACCATTACATTGAACCCGAGGCTTGGGCGGAGTACCTGATTTCTATGCATTTGTCGGTGTACTAGGGAATTTTGATCCGCCTTTGAAAAATGACCCCAATTCATTTTTCATCTTTGAAGATTGAGTTCAAAGACTGGAGTTCTGAACCAAGGTCATTTTTTCTGCAGAATTGTGGAAGAGAAAATTGAAGCCTCAATATTCAATACCTTTCCTTTTATTAATAAAAAAAAACAAAAAAAAACAAAGGCTTGAATAAATAGTTTTTTTTATTTTTTTAACTGATTCTGTCTCAAAAATTGTATGATACTAGTGTTCATTTTCTAGATTTTGAATTAAATGGGTGGGAATAAGTACAAAAATTATAACATGACCACTAGTTATTAAATTTTGTATTAAGGACAGTTGAAACCCCCCAAAAAAAGATGCCTGGGTTGATATATATTTTTGGAACTATTAACTATAACAGATCTAGCTCGTGCCAATGTTTACAAAAAAAAAAAACAAAACAAAACAAAAACAAAACAAAAAAAAAACAAAAAAACAAGAGGCCCAAGGGCTTTAACGGTCACCTGAGTATAATACAACAATTTAAAGGATCCATAGAGTATAAAATGAACTGAAAGGTGAAGCTTTGTTGCCCAAAAGCAAGAAATATAGGATGATCAGGATCAACAAAATAATTAGTCTAGCATTCAGTAACAGTTCATAAATTAGGTTCTAATCTATTCCCCATTTATCACCATCACCATACAGTATATTAACAAACTATCAGTGCTTCTCTACTGTTTTAATTCCTTATTGAAAACTCTTACATTGGCCTCTCTTGCTCTTCGATGAACATTTAATAAGACAGTTATTTTTGTCTCATTTTTATTTATCTATTACTTAAAAGTCTAACTGATCATTAAAACTATGAAAGTACTTTTTGTATTATACAATAAAAATTCTTGCATAATTCTCTTATTCTATTAACCTTTCAAGTACATTATTTACAGTGATTAATTATCAAAAGTAAATGGCAAAGGGGAATAACTCCTCTCAGAAGAATACAAATTAATAGAGCCCTTGCCAGGACCAGAACACTTGACCAAATGGTCCAGATGTTCAAAAATTTGGTAAAAAATACCCTTCCTAATTAAAACATTTACTCCTTTTGCCTCTGATGTGCCCAGGTGCAGAGAAGATTTTTAAAGAAATAATGCATTTTTACTACAGATTCACTATATTATCAATAGAGCCCCCATCCCCACCGAAACACCAGAGCCTCTGACCCTGGGACCAGAAGTTTGCTCATTATAAGTAATCACTTTGTTTATCTGCTTAACACTAAGGAGCAGACAGGATTATAAAATAGAATTAATGCATTTTCACTATATCATCAAGAGCCCCACCCTTACGCCAGCACATCTGACCCATGGCTCATGCAATTCCCTACTCTGGAAGAAGCACTCTTGCTCATCATAACTATACACATAGCTTCTTTGTTTTTTAACCACAAGCAGAAAGGAATATTTTCAAAGAAATTTTGCTTTTTCACTAGATAATCAATAGAGCCCCCCCCCCTTTTCACCAGAGCCCTTGACCCAAGGGCCATGAAATTCACAATTTTGGAAGAAGCATCCTTGCATATCATAACAATTTACTTAGTTTGTTTAAATAATACCCAGGGGCAGAGAAGATTTTCAAAGAAATAATGCATTTTCACTATATAATAAATAGAGTCCCACCCTAACACCAGAACCCCTAATCCAGGGGCCATGAAATTCACAATTTTGGAAGAAGCATCATTGCTTATCATAACTATTTATTTAGTTTGTTTAATTAATACCCAGGAGTAGAGAAGAAGATTTTCAAAGAAATAATGCACTTTCACTATATGATCTATATAGCCCCGCCCTTACACCAGAACCCCTGACCCAAGGGCCATGAAATTCACAATTTTCGAAAAGGCATTCTTGCTCATCATAACTATGAACTTAGTTAGTTTATTTAATACCTAGGAGCAGAGAAGAAGATTTTCAAAGAAATAATGCACTTTCACTATATGATCTATAGAGCCCCGCCCTAACACCAGAAACCCTGACCCCGGGGCCATGAAATTCACAATTTTGGATAAGGCACTCTTGCTCTTCATAACTATGTACTTAGTTAGTTTATCTGATTCCCAGGAGCAGAGAAGATTTTCAAAGAAATAATGTACTTTCACTATATGATCTATATAGCCCCACCCTAGCACCAGAACCCCTGACCCTGGGGCCATGAATTTCACAATTTTGGTAGAGGGCTTAATGCTTATTACAATCATGCCAACAGTTTGACTGCTTGATGTCCAAGAGTAAAGAAGATTTTTAAAGATTGCATTATTTTTGGTGGTTTTAGCCCCACCCCTCAGGCCCCAGGGGGGCAGGGACCATGAAATTCACAATTTTTGTTCCCCTTCACCCATAGATGCTATATGCCAAATTTGGTTGGAATTGGTTGAGTGGTTTCAGAGAAGAAGCTGAAAATGTTCAAATGTTAACGCACGACGACGGACAAAAACGGATAGCAATAGGTCACCTGATTGACTCAGGTGACCTAAAAAAAAAAACAAACAAACAAACAAAAAAAAAACCCAATTGTTTGGTGTAAGGTAATGAAGAATACATTTGTCGTTGTATTAGGAATTTTCATATAGGGTAAACTGATCGTGAGTCGGACACCTCTTGTTTTTCTTTACGCATGCAGACCACATTCATCTGTATAGCCTATGCTATTTGGTCTTGTCCGAAAGAGCTTGCAAAGATCTACTATTTCTTTGCTTGAAATACCTCGGTATTTTACCTTATAAAACATTCAGATGTGATGAACCACCAACATCGAAATTCGTTCGTAAGTCGGACACATTTGATATTGAGTCGGACACTCATAAAAGTGGGGACTAATTAATTTCTAGGCCCTATATATGCAAATGCTGACGTGCACTTGTTCATCGAACATGCATGGGCCTTTCACGGTCTCGTATTTCAAGAAGGGGGGAGGTGCCAGAAAAAAAATTAAGAAAAACTGGCGATCATGCATGCTTACTTAAAAGAATACATGCGAGAAACTATAGGAGAGAGGACCCCCCCCCCCCTTTGTGTAATTTCTGTACAACATTTAAAGTATCCCTACTTCGATCATGACGGGGTTTATGATAATAAACAATCTTTCTTTCACTGGGAAGAAAATAAATAATATGACCTCGACTTGTTGTTTCCCCCCATTAAAGAGTTTCGACAGTTCCACCTCCTCTCTCTCTCTCTCCCTATTTTTTTCTTTTTTCTTTTCTTTTTTCTTTTTCTTTTTTTTTTTGCTTGTCAAGAGAATTTGGCCGCATGAATTTGATATGGATACAGCAGGTATATGTGAAAACTAAAATAATCATTGATCCTTCAAATTATATTTTAGCATTTTAATGACATCGTGTTTCTGGGTTGTACAAAAGAAATTTTTTTTTTCTTGATACCGTGTTTTGATTTTGCTAAAATATGACCAGATCAGTCAATCGTACCGCGGTAAATTGGTATTTTTAGGTTATGATCTCGTATTTCTTATATTTTTTCAACTTCTGAAATAAGGTACAATAAAAGAGAGAGAGGGGGGGGGGGAGAGAGAGGGGGGAGAGAAAGAGAGGGTCTCATAATTAACTGATATACATTTAACTTTTTAAAAAACACAATCAAGTATGAATGTAATAAATTTTAAATAAATAAATATATCATATCATAAATACTCTACATTTCATTTTACGAATCAAAATCATTAAGACGCTAATAATCACACTTTTTCCGCTGAATGGAATATTCCATTTCGAGTCTTGGAGCAGATTGTCTCATAAGTAGACATAACATGTTTCAGTTATGTTTGTACTTATTCCTGCCTAAGTCTTTCTTTTATATGTGCGTTTCTGCTCCCTAACCGCAACAAGACCTGCTTTTTTTTTTGGGGGGGGGGGGGGTGAAGACGACTCGTTATCGAACAACTCTTGATACAGTAATGAAGCATCGGCATCTTTGGAGCCCCCCCCCCCACCCCATCCACCCCTGTCGAATGAAAACAATTAAAAGAAATTTCCAATAATCACGTTTTTTATTCCCCAAGATATTTGAAATATTTCTTTTTAGCTAAATATTTTAAAATCAAAATCACATTTTAATTTGAAAGTATACAATACGCTTTATACAACTTCCATCAGACGATCACGCCTATTCCTTCCTGCCTTGAATTAATTTCGTTGATTTTAAATATTAGTTAAAAAAATGAATTTGTGATTTATCTTAATTAAAAGAGATTCGAATATTTGACTTAATTTATAATATTCTGCAAGCAATTATATATGTGACAAAGTTTATAAAAACTCGGACAGTGTCCGACTTAAGATCAAATTGCTAAAATTTACTGTCCGACTCAAGATCAAATATTGAGTCGTTGCGTCCGAACTTGAATTCTTCGAAATAGAATAAAATATTTACCAAAAAAAAACATACATATTGTGTATTTACAATGTTTAGTGCATAATATACGTGTAATTTTAACTTTCAAATTAAATTCTTTTACACGATGTGAAAACTTTCATAAGTTTGATCGATCAAAATATTGCCAGGCGGATCTTCCAATTTCCTGGTAATTAGTGCTTTTCGAGGTCAAACGTCAAAAAGACTGCAATATCGTCATTTTGAGAATGAAAGACAACTCTTAATAGATTAAGAATTGCTTGATTCAGTCGATCATGATAGAGGATGGATTCATTATAGGAAGTCTGTTAAAAATAGCATCAAAATTGTCCGACTCTAGATCGTGTCCGACTCTTAGATCACTCTACCCTAAGGTCTAATTATTTATTAAACCGAGTTTCTTTTTATTAAATACGACATTCGTAAAAATATCAATTCATTATTGTAAACAAAACAGCGATGCAAGAGTGTTAAGAATTCGATGACAAACATTATAATTCATTATAGGAAGTCTGTTAAAAATAGCGTCAAAATTGTCCGACTTTAGATCATGTCCGACTCTTAGATCACTCTACCCTAAGGTCTAATTATTTATTAAACCGAGTTTCTTTTTATTAAATACGACATTCGTAAAAATATCAATTCATTATTTCTTGAATGTCGAATTGTCGAGTAGTAATATATCTGCAAAATTACATTTCGTGTTGGACATAAATTCATGAGTATCTTCATACCTCGAAAACAACGAAAATTACCCCCCCCCCCCCCCCCACACACACACACAAAAATTAGTGATTTCACAGTATGTTATTTTGTATATATAGCTTGGCCCTGCTTTTCGCCAACTTTAAAGTTTACAATATCACATTCAATAGAGCTTACCGGACAGAGAAGAAACTCTTAATGAACTGTAACCTCATTAGCAGATCACACACAAAGGTCTACGTTACTTAGAAAGTAGAAATATTCAAACTTTAACGGTTTTAAGCCTTTGAAATGCACTTTCTGTCATTTTAGGAGAGACGAACTTCTCAAGACTTTTTAACCACTCTATGAATAAAAATTATTCTATTTTAAAATCGTATAATACCGGTAGTATACATGTATGATTCTACTTACTTACTTTTTTACTTACTTATTTAATTGATGACAAAGTCTGTCTTTTAAGCATTTAGAAGATGATCAGTTGCATGTATCCATGTATTTTGATTAATAATAATAAATCATTAGAATATATTTGATGTATACAATTATATTTAATTCGATTTTTGTCACAGTTAGTCTCCATTCCTCCTATCCAATTTCTGAGACTTCTTCGCTGATGCTTAAAAAATTAAACAGGGCAGGTAAACGTATGATATTGAGAACTAGCTATAAAAGCAATAAAAATTAATACGATTCAGGATTAATGAAAATGAATATACATGTATAGTCACCTTTTCTCACAAATGTAATTCAGTTTGTTTGTGCAATCCACGTCATTCCAGTGCCACGAGTAATTGATTCCAAACGAGGCACAGTCCTCATCACTAGCATCGTTCGGTTCTCCAGGATACCAGTCTGTGAATGTCACGTCAGATTGAGTCGACATCCAGACCCAGTGTCCTTCCGCAATTAAGTCGGACATCCACATCCAAAAATCAACTAGAAAACGTATATTAAAGATTATGATGTATTGAAATTATTTAACAGGAGGTCCTTTGGCTACAAATCTCACCTGAATCCCCATTTCCTCCTGACAAATGAATTTTCATGAGTACTAATTGTGCCCCTTTATTAGCCGACATGATTTTATACTTTTATTGAAGAGGAATTTATTTTAAAAACTCCTACAAAAGAAGTCTCTTTGTCTGGCATTGAATTTGAATTTAAACAGAACGACGACGTTTTATCAATTCACAATATATTCATTTTCATTCACACAGTGATTTCATGAAATATATAGATAACGAACCATTATCAAGTTCAAAAAACTATTGAAACAATACAAATCGGGAGCAGAGCAAACACGGACCTCTAAAACAACATTACAAGGAGCATACGGGGGTGTGACCGGTCTGCAGGGGGTGCTCACTCCTCCATGGCACCTGATCCCACCTCTGATGTTTTAGAGATCCGTGTTTGCTCTGCTCCTGATTTGTATTGTTTGAATGGACTTTTAAGCTTGAATACTGTTTGTTATCCCCATTATCTCCATATATTTCTGTTAATATATTTCCATATTAAAATTTGACCTTTTTTGTTTTGTTTTGGGTTTGTTTGTTTTTTGCCCAAACTAGTCCCAGATGTCATATTTCAAGAAAACTGTCTCCATACTAAATGTTTTCTTATCTAAAACTTGAAAAATTCTGAACTTATTAATCTAGATCTAAAGTTGATTCATGGTCCTTGCTCTTGAGTAATAGGTATGTAAAAATGACGAAAACTTTATATATTTTTTTTACATTGTAGGATTTTTATTACTGACTGAGAAAATCCCTGCAGTATAAAAATTCATATCTCGGACAATTACCAATCAACTGCCCAAGATTCTTATTTCTGTAACCATTATTAAAGGCACGTTATTTTGATTTAGTAATCGCAATATTTATTACAAAAATTAATTTAGATAAATCTGAAAAGATGTTCGCAAAATGTTTCATTTTTCACACGATTTTCAAGCAAACATATTTCCCTTCAAACCTCACTAAATCACTCCACACAGGCTTGAAAACTAGAGCAAATCACAGCAAGGTCGTGTTTTATGTAGGATTTTATACATAATGTTCTATTTCTATTAATTCAGAATACTTTAATTCGTTACGTTACCTGTCGACTGCCTTCCTATATCAAACAGGTGGAGACGGAGGTAACTGTTCTCTTCTGCCGTTTCCACTTCTACCAGTTTAGCCTCAAGGGCTTTACAGTATAGCTGTAATATTTAACCATATAGCAAAATTGAACGGCCACCAATGTAGTGATGGCAAGTCACTAAAATGAAAGGAAGAATACCTTAGCTTAAAAGTACTGATCTCAATACAATAATATAATGTTCAAATTAAAGCAATATGAGCTGCATTTTTGAGAATTTTATTTTGCTGTTAAAATGTGCTGTTATGATAAATTTGTATGTAATTTTAACCTTTATGTTCAATTAGACTAAAATAAAGGGGTTTTTTTTTTTCAGAAGAAAGGTTTCTGTACTATGGAATGTATAGTATTATATAAGAAAACAATATTGTACAGGACGACAATAATGTAGTATTGCTTCAATCAAAGCTTCTAAATAGTTCTTCCTTCGCAAATATGAACAACAGAAGTTTATAAATGCTCTTTTTTTCTGTCATTGAAATTGTTAATTACAATTTTGCCACAAAATTTTCAGACATTAAATTTGCAGCTCATATTGCTTTAACTAATCATGAAATTATTAAGGCTTTCAGAAAAGCTGTCATATAAAATGAGTTTTAGTGTATGTGTGACCGGTCGGCAGGGTATGCTCATTCCTCCATGACACCTGATCCCACCTCTGATGTTTTAGAGGTATGTGTTTGTTCTGCTCCTGATTTGTATTGTTTAAATGGAATTTTGAGCTTGAATACTGTTTGTTATCTCGATATATTTCATTTCAAATACAATCATAGAATAACTGTACTCGAACAGAAATAAAGCAACAGTTGGATATAATCAAAATCAAATTATTGTGCAACAGTTCAGCAATTAAGAAAAAAGTTGTATAGAATCACGTACAATTAAGCCATCGAGAAACGGAGTACCCGCGCTACAATTATGTTACATGGTATTGTTTCAGTCCAAGAATAGCATTTCTCATGTACTTAATTGACATGCAATTGAGTGTTTACTGCATAATCAATACCCACTGCCTTGACTTAGTAATCAGACTTTTTTTTGTATTTTACATCTTTCTGTCAATTTTTTAAACTGACTCCATTCTATCTTTGCCACCTATCGTTGCCTTTGATTTTGAGAAAATCCATATCCTTTCTCTACAATGAAATTCTTTATAAACAGATGCCTGTCACTTAGCCCAATTATACCCCTGACCATCACCATATCACCTTGAGCTTCCAGTATGGTCTTAGTCCTACTTATGTTACAACTTTAGGTCATCAGCAAACACAAACAAAACTTTCAATTCATTTCAGTCTACGGTTCCAAAATATGGCCAGGACACAGTTTCAATATCTCACTGTCCAGTGACCTCACCTTTAAGACACAATCTTACGTCAAAATCACGACACACATTTGGATTATGTGTAAACAGGGTTACACAGGGGTTGCTAACTCCCCCATGGCACCTGATCCCACCTCTGATGTTTTTCAGAGGTCCGTATTTGTTCTGCTCCTGATTTGTATTGTTTCAATGGACTCCTGAGTCTGATTACTGTTCGTTATCTCCATATTTCATCTAGTTAGTCACAATTTAATCTAGTTACGTGTTTGAAAGTTATAGCCAACACATTTGTAACAGTGGAACAGATAGCTAGACGGACGGAAAGGAAAGTTGATTGTGCCAAAAACTAAAATGTCCCCTCCCGTTGGAAAAAAAACTCTAATGTTTGTTTTACATGACAACAAACCTCATTTTAATTAAAAGGGTCAAGTATATGAATGTTTACTAAGTCTTATCAACTTCAGAGGACATATTGTTTTAGGCACGGTTTTTTAGTCTATCACAAAGTCATACCCGATCCTCTTGATTGCTAAGAGTTCAATCTGTTGTTTGCTGTTTTTAATGATCCAAACGTCAGTTTAATGCTTGGTTTCAGATTATGTCAAAGGTCGAGTAATAAGATAGTAAAATGGCCTCCAGGCTACAACTCTGAAAGTCTTAGTTAGAATGAATTCAAACTTTAATATGATATAGCCCGTGACCTAATATTTTGTCCAGACCTTGACCTAAGGTCATATTTTATATTAAGGTCACTGGGAAGTTAGGAATTGAAACTGTGTCCGGGCTATAACCCTGGATCTTTTTCCTCAATCGATTCAAATTTGACCATGTTGTTGACGATGGTTAAGATATTTGTCAAAATATTAAGTCAAGTTCTTAAATTGAAGGTAAAGGTCGCCAGGAAACCAAATGTTGAATATATGATAAACAATTTTCCTGAGACAATGAGTAAAATTAAATATAATCAAACTAGTATATTATGCTCTTATCCATTGCATCTGATATACTGTAATATTGTTTCATGTACATGTCGTCAAGGCCATATGAGTATTGTCAGGAGTATAATTAGGGAAGATAAGGACATCCATACTTTTTATTTAAAAAAAAATCTCCTTATGTCAAATGATAATAAGACTCCGTCCATCCGTCCGGGGCTCCTGTGATGAAGGCTTAACAAGACGATCCGTGATGGATCCAGTCAGCTGGACAGGGACCAGCGCTGATAACAAACACTTCAACAGAAAAAAATGAGTGTGGAATCAGTATTACATATGTGTGAACTGTGGATGGTAATTTATATCTCACTGTGCACGGATATAAAAATGTTTACAAAAATTCCAAATTGTAAATCATATTTAAGACGGAATGTAATAAAAAGAACGTACAAACCTGTGGAAAGGAAAATTAATAATCGTAAAGTCATTTTCTGAAAGGCATACGACACAAAACTTCTTTTATCTTATCTGGATTGTTACCGACAACATTTACCAAGTCAGAAGAAGAAAAAAAATGATAGATTATCATTATGTTATTTTTTTAAAGGTTCTAACTTAAATCTTAGAAAAGTAACTCAGTCGTTGACTTTTATTGCAGAGATACATGTTATTTCTTCTTTTCATTGTAATTAATTTTTGTGAGTGAGACAAAATTATAAAAAATGATCGAATGGTGGTGATTATTTAGTTAGTGAAACCATATTACAGGTGAGTTAGGGTGAAAGAAAACTGTCTATTCACTTTGTGTAAATAACTGATACTAACATTTACAATACGTGTTTGTTGTATTTCAACCACTGAACAGTTAATATAATCATTTCATTGTGTTTTGCCTAAATATATTAAGCCGTTTGCCTATTACTTTTTTTTCTATAGCTATTACTTTAAGATTTGGATTACAGTTTTCGTGTGGATGGGATTATTAGTCAAGTTGTTCATTACAGAGCTGCTACAAGATACAACATACAAGATTTTATTAGTCCAATTTGGGCCCCCGGAGGAGCAAAAAAAAAAAAAAGATTTACAAACATGAAACAAAAGAAGGATGAAGATCAAAATGATAGAACAAACCTGATCTTAAATATAATGAGCAGTGCTTAATTGTATAATGATTGATAAATGCATCTACAAGAGATATACTGAATATACTACATATTGTATATGTTATAATGATATATACACTGTAATAGTCAAATAACTGGAAGGATACATATATGCATATCAAAGAACAGAAGAGATGATATATTGCCATTCCTACATGTATATACATCCCCAAATATATTTAAATTTTTCAGTTAAGGTAGATTATTTAGGAATGTTGCAGGTGATCATAGGATCTCAGGGTCTTCATTATTCATGAGCCATTGTAATTGATTATCATATGATAGGGACTGAAAATTTTTACATTTATTATTACAAATATTTATGAGTTCAAGTCTTTGTACACTAAAATGAGGACATACAAGGAGAAAATGAATTTCATCCTGAATCTCCTTGTGATCACAAAGGTAGGTAAAATCTATTCACTAGCAAATAAGTTCCCCGTGAATTTCACCTAAAATCCCAACTTGAAATTGACTTGAAAATAGCACAAAATAAGATTGACCAATTTTTTCCTCAATTTTCTTGTTTTTAAAAATTTTAATTTGATAACTGACTTAAATGTCATATATCTACTTATAAAAAATTGCTTCATTGCTCATGTATGGCTAACTACAGTTAACTATAAGATATACTATAATACTTTGATACTTACTTTCATACTTTGATTTAATTACTTTGATACTTTGAAATTTTACTATGAAACTAAGCCCCTAAATCTTACTTTTTGTAATTTTAATTTTTCCATGTTAATGATGTAAATTTTGGCAATACGTGAGTTTACAAGTAATTTTTCCTTTAACGTAAAAAAAAGCAGTTAAAAATGAAAGATATCTACAAAAATTTGAAATTTAAAGTAAAAAGAAAAAAAATAAGTATGGTTAAAAACTTTTGATTTACTGTGAGGACTTTCATACTATGATTTACTACGGTAAAAGCTTTGATACTGTGATTTACTATGGTAAAATCATTTTTTGATACTAATGGATATGAAGAGGAGTAACTCGAGTTATCGTATGAAATAATTTGGTGTCTCTATGGCCTAAGTACATCAGTCCTCGGACATGCTTCACGGGATATCGAAACTCAGTGGAGTAAGCTTTGACGTCATAGCAAGTAGCCCTACTCAATACGCAAGTCAAAGGTCAGGTTTAAAAATTAACTCAAACTGAAAGAAAAAAAAAACCGACTGGGTAGATCTGATGAATTTCCAGAAAGTTTACCCCAGTCAGAATAGTACATACCGTGACAGGTAAATCATCTTTATAAAGGCGAAGTAAACTTGTCAATATTTGTTAATATATTTATTTCATTTCATTAACTATTTAAAGAACAGTGTCTTGATAATATTCAACTTTCACTTTGCTACTGTTCCAATACGGAGATAATACTATTTAGAGAAATAACGTAACTTATTAATTAAATCATTAGCATGCTCTTTTTACAAATGTTCGGTTATTTACGAAAAACATAGTCATAATGGCTGAAATTTATCGATATGTAGAAATATTTTAAACTACTGCTTTACTTCTCATAATCATTTTTTTAATATATTTTGTCCAATCTTTACTAATGAATTAAACAAGCGTTGTGATAATATTGCATAAGCAAGCTTTAGTTCCCTACCGGTCACAGTATGGGCCGTAATTACTAACCGTCGTTATCATGGTACGATTTTAAGTAAAGACAATGCATATATATAAATATTCTCTTGGGAAACTGAAATACCAGAAATAGATAGGGAAAAGAATATTTTTTTCTATATATTATTGATTGATTGTATGTAGTTTTTCACTCATATAGAGACGTCACCATATAACGGTGAAGGGCTTCAAATTTAGACCTATACTCGGCACTTAGGGTCGTTGAGCAGTGAGGGTTCTTTATCGTGCCAACTCCTGCCGTGACACGGGACCTCGGTTTTTAAGGTCTCATCCGAAAGACCCGTGACTTTCACTTCTAGTGCCGGGCGCTTGGCAAAGTCACTACTTGTGTTTACGTCATAGGTTTGACGCGGCGCGGCGAACAAGAATCGAACCCCGGCCTACCGATCACGAAGCGAACCCCTTCCACTAGGCTATCGTGACCGGTTTCTATATACCTACGTATTATGGAATAGGGAATATTCCGGATAGGGCCACTTAATTCACTATCGCACCATCGAGGGTCGATGGCGCGAATGCGATGAAGATGGTGCGATGGCGCGACAATGTGATGACGATGATACGATAGTACGATGGAACGATAGTGAACATCGCTTCGTCGTCATCGTACCATTGCGCCATTGTCATTGCACCATCGTGTCATTGCTGTCACGCCATCTTATCATCGCACTATCGCGTCATAACATCATTGTCATCGCATTGTCGTGCTATCGTACTATCGTCCTCTCGCTATCGCGTCATCGCACCATTGCTTCATCGTTATCGCATTACCGCACTATCGACCCAAACTTCGATGGTGCGATGGTGCCATAGTGAACTACATAGCCCTATCCAAATACCATAATATTTTCTTTCAACAAATAGTACGCTTACTGAAAATTAAGAAGACATGAACATGCATGTTTTTAGAAGATTAAAGAAATTTTTTGTAATTACCTTCCTAGTTATGCTATATACGACTTAAGGTTTAATAAATAACGTATGTTCATAATCTTTTTTCTTTATCTTAGAAAAAATGTTAGTGACTGAAAGCTATATCAAGACAAATATGAAAACCTTACTACAAGATTTTAGACAACCAGAGTAAAACAATTCCAAATTCATTTTAGAAAAAAAAAACATGCAGGCTAAACTGAATGATTACTTCAAGATTTTAGAGGATCAGAGTAAATCAGTACCAAATGATGCCAGACAGATCAGGTATTGTAAATACATCACCAGATTTGCCTCTCATTTCGGGAAAGAACGTTGTCAGGTGGTGGGAAGTACAATAGAGGGAACACGACTCAGATCTCACAAAGATGAGGGGGACTTTGACTATCTTATAATATCGGGAATCTCAATTCCTGTGGAGGCGTTGGAACACAGAGATGATTTGCAATGTTTTGTACACATACGTGTGGATAAATTGAATGTTTTCTTTTCTGATGATCTTGTGGTGGATGGAAAATACCTTCATAGACGAATTCTGAAAGGTCTTGGTAAAGAAGCTTTTAAAATTCTGAGAGGGCTATCCCCTGTGCTCACAGCCCCAAGAAAGTCAAAAGGAAAAGACATAGAACATATGGAATTCAATCGAGAAGCAAAACCCGGAATGACCCAAGAGCATTTTGCTGGTTTCGAAATATCAAATCAAAGCGAAAACACATCTAAGCGTAAACATTCCCAAACAGAACCAAATGGGGAAGCAAATTATACTTTTAAGGCACCACTGAAAAACATTCTGAAAATGGTTGACAAAAAGAAAACGGGTGAGGATACAAAAACTGACCTGTTTCAAACCTTCGATAGTTTGATAGATGCAGCTTCTTTATCTGAAAGAGATTTATCTGCACCGTCGTCAAAGATGCGAAAACTAGACGCACAAGTGTGTAACACAGAGTGCCAACGTGGTTATGACATGTCCTATCAAGTTGTTAAATATAATTACAAGAGCAGCAAGGATTTTATTGCCGCCTTTCCCCTGAGAGGAAAACTACGGTGTCTGGATGAATGGAAACATAGAATGATGAAAAGGAAAGTGATGTTTTGGCCAAAGCCAGAAATCATAGAAGAAATTTACAATTCCGAAGTGTATGTGGTAGCCAAGGAAGCAATTATAAATCCAAAGCCTTTAGTTGACTTTTGTCTGGGATTTAATCAAGCGGAATTGATTTTAGCAAAATCCCTGAGTCCTAATCAGAAGCTGTGCATACTATTATTAAAATCTCTACAGAAAGGTTTCCTTGAAGGTTTTTAGCTCACCTGAGCCGAAGGCTCAAGTGAGCTTTTCTGATCACATTTTGTCTGTAGTCCGTCTGTCCGTCTGTAAACTTTTCACATTTTCGACTTCTTCTCAAGAACCACTGAGCCAATTTCAACCAAACTTGCCACAAAGTATCCTTTGGTAAAGGAGATTCAAGTTTGTTCAAATGAAGGGCCACGCCTTCTTCCAAGGGGAGATAATTAAGAATTTGTGAAAAATTAATGGCATCATTAAAAAATCTTCTTCTCAAGAACCACTGTGCTTGAAAACATGAAACTTATGTGGAAGCATCCTCAGGTAGTGTAGATTCAAGTTTGTTCAAATCATGACCCCCGGGGGTAGGGTGGGGCCGCAATGGGCGATCAAAGTTTTACATAGGAAATATACAGGAAAAATCTTTAAAAATCTTCTTCTCAAGAACAGCAAAGCCATGATTGGTCATATTTATATGGTAGCATCCTCAGGTATTGTAGATTCAAGTTTCTTCAAATCATGACCCCCGGGGGTCGGGTGGGGCCACAATGGGCGATCAAAGTTTTACATAGGAATATATGGGAAAATCTTCAAAAATCTTCTTTTCAAGAACAGCAAAAGCAAGATTGGTCATATTTACTTGGAAGCATCCTCAGGTAGTGTAGATTCAAGTTTGTTCAAATCATGACCCCCGGGGGTCGGGTGGGGCCACAATGGGCGATCAAAGTTTTACATAGGAATATATAGGAAAAAATCTTTAAAAATCTTTTTCTCAAGAACAGCAAAGCCATAATTGGTCATATTTACATGGAAGCATCCTCAGGTAGTGTAGATTCAAGTTTGTTCAAATCATGACCCCTGGGGGTCGGGTGGGGCCACAATGGGCGATCAAAGTTTTACATGGGAATATATAGGAAAAAATCTTTAAAAATCTTCTTCTCAAGAACAGCAAAGCCATGATTGGTCACATTTACATGGAAGCATCCTCAGATAGTGTACATTCAAATTTGTTCAAATCATGACCCCCGGGGGTCGGATGGGTCCACAATGGGCGATCAAAGTTTTACATGGGAATATACAGGAAAAATCTTTAAAAATCTTCTTCTCAAGAACAGCAAAGCCATGATTGGTCACATTTACATGGAAGCATTCTCAGATAGTGTACATTCAAATTTGTTCAAATCATGACCCCCGGGGGTCAGGTGGGTCCACAATGGGCGATCAAAGTTTTTACATAGGAAAACATAGTAAAAATCTTAAAAAAAACTATTTGTTAAGAATAACAGAGCCATGATTGGTCATATTTATATGGTAGCATCCTCAGATAGTGTACATACAAATTTGTTCGAATCATGACCCCCGGGGGTCGGGTGGGGCCACAATGGGCGATCAAAGTTTTACATAGGAACACATAGTAAAAATCTTTAAAAAAACTATTTGTTAAGAATAGCAAAGCCATGATTGGTCATATTTATATGGAAGCATTCTTAGATAGTGTACATTCAAGTTTGTTCAAACATGACCCCTGGGGGTCGGGTGGGGCCACAATGGGTGATCAAAGTTTTACATAGGAATACATAGGTTAAATCTTTAAAAATCTTCTACTCAAGAACAGCAAAGCCATGATTGGTCATATTTAAATGGAAGCATCCTCAGATAATGTAGATTCAAATTTGTTCAATTCATGACACCCCCCCCCCCACAACCACTTTTATATTTAAACTTTTCAACCTTTCAAGATTGAAGTGATTTCTGCTTTTTCCTAGCCATAGTGCTCAGGTGAGCGATGTGGCCCCTGGGCCTCTTGTTCAAAGATTTTGACGACTTTCCACTGGAAAACTGCATTTTATCACAAGTGTGAGCAGATTGATCCCGACCTATTTGATCGCCAGTCAACATTGTTGTTGCCTCTTAACATGGTCCTGTCTTACATGGTAGAATGTTTAAACAGGGGATATTTACGGCATTACTTCATAGAAAGCAACTTAATAGCTCACATTTCTCCAGCGGAAGCCAGTAGAATCAGTGCCAATATTCAAGAAATTATAGAGAAACCAGAAAGCGCATTCAAAGTTTACTTTGACCGGAAAAAATGTGAAGAAAAAGAAACAACAGTGATTTCAAAGGAAGAATTGCTACAAGTAACACAACACGATTCGGAAGCATCAGGAAATCTCCAGATAGATAAAATCATTGACATGTGGAAACAACTTCAAGAAGCCTCCGACAGAAATAATTCTAAAATATTCACAGCTATTCTGGATACCCTACGTCTGGTTATAGAAGAAGAGACGGACCATGACTTCAAAAAAGCCCTCATCTCTTTACAAAATGGAAAGGTGATTCCAGTTTTAGCAGTTGCCAGAAATATCACGAATGTTAGAGAAAAGCAACAGGATTATAATGAAATAGCATCGAGTACATGGCAAAAGTTACTTTCAGAGAGACGTTGATTTTTATTTTTTACCCTTATTGGAATGTGCTGTTTATAAATGAATTATTTGCCTATATATTGTCATAAATAAATGTAAAACTTGAAAACTTGGGGTGGTTTTTCATAATTGACAATTTGTCAAAAAGTTAAATTGGTTAACGAAACGAACTCCGCGAAAAAAAATTACAATATTACAATATATTTAAATTTCTCCATTTATAGTAAGCACAGGTACTTGTGGACAGGACCGCGGTATTATATTATAATACCGCGGGTATGATTTTTTTTTACTAAAACGTTAATCCTGTGTTATTTTTTATTTTTATTTTTATTTATTTTTTTTTTTTTTTTGGATTTTTCTAATGGATTACATTGTAAATGTGTACTAGAAGAATAATTTATGAAAAAAATACATAAAAATATTTTTTGACTTGTGGGGTATATTCGGGGGAGGGAAGGGGGAGGGTTCCTGTCCACAAGTACCTGTGGTTGATACTCTAAAGAAAACGCTGGCATCGCTGTACCGTCAAGAAAAGTATTTGATGTCAAATCAGAACAATATATTAACGGACTTTGAATCAAACCATAAAACAATGTTGACAAGACATCATTACCATCAGTGCCAAGTTTCATGTCTGTTTCTTTTTACTAATGAAGAAGTAGTAAAACTTTATTTTTTTCCCCTGAAAATTTATATCAATACTACAGTATTTAATTTTATCCCAGTACATGTATACAGTTGCTGAATTTTACTTTGAAATACAATAACTTGAATTATAAATATATATAGAGAGAGAGATATCGTCTTGAATTTTTTGACGTTTACTACTATAACGTACTCTTTCAAAATCTCCTACAAGAACATCCTATTTTACACACACATCATCTGAAAGAAAAATACGTTTCTTTCCTAGTACTATTTCTAGCGTTTTCAAATACACATATTCTATGAAAAATACTTTTATCATGAAGATTTTTTTTATGTATTAACATTGCTATTGAATTGTGGGTTTTTTTTTTTAACATTTTACAGTTCGTAAGCGAATCATGACCTATTAAACATGTTAATTTTATTTCCTCGTAATATTTTTATTGAATAAATGTTGTTAATTGTTTGACAAAGTCATACATGTAATTTCTGTTTTTTGGTCCACGCCTCGATAAAATTAAATTGGTATCTGAAAAAAAAAACAGCATTGTGATTTAGAATCTATAAGACTACTGTGACAGGTTTTCTTATGCTTATTGTTACAGCTGATTTTAACACTAGGTTTAACTTAATTTCTCTTAAAATTATATTTTGGTATTTTTCCTATGCTCATATGGTTAAAAAACCATTTCTGTAAATTTATTTTAATGCAAGTACACACCGATAGTTCAATTCAATTCATTTCACCTTTAACAACCATTTATTGTATAAAATTAAACATTATTATTGATATACTGTATATAGAAAATTATTTTTTGAATGCATTGGACTTTTTTTTAAACTAAAATATGTTGTTGCAATTAATAGGCCTTTCTTTATGAAAGTGTCAGAATACCAATTGTGAACAATGTGTGTTTTCGGTGTATGTCATTTTTGGGCAATACTGGTGTGTCACAGTGGCCTAGGGTAGGAATTGAATTTCTTTTACTGAATTTTATGACGTTTCAAACCATCATGACGCATGTAGAAATTTTTAAGTGTTCAATATTCAAAGAGTAACAATTACTTTAAATTTTCAATTTTCTTTGTTTCAAACTCTTGATAGCATGGTTTCTTTAAATCTCAAATATTCCTGCTTAATATGAAATGAAATATGGAGATAATGAACAGTATTCAAGCTCAAAAGTCCATTTAAACAGAACAAATTAGGAGCACAAACACCGACCTCTAAAACATCAAAGATGGGATCAGGTGCCATGGAGGAGTGAGCATCCCCTGCCGACCGGTCACACCTGCAGTGTGCCCCTTGTCATGATCCGTATGATCTACGGAAAAATCCGTAGATAATTCAGTGTGTAAATGATGGCCTAAGAATTAGTATGAAAAACGTCAGTCAGCATTTGACTTAATGATAGATTGTATTTGCTGACAAGGTCATTGTATTGACCGTAGAATTTACGAAATGATGACTTAAAACGAGACTGTTGATATTCTTGTTTCATCAACTTGTTTGTCAATAGCTTGCCTCATTTAAGAAATTGTTCGTATGTAAAGCATGCGCTCTTGCGTATCGAATCAACTGACAGACATTAACCCCATATGCAGGTGATAAAGGATTATTGCTACATATGTAAGGGAAGTTGACGATTGAAAAGTTGAATTCATCACGTTTATCATAAAGCTTTGTTTTAAAGTTACCAATAACCTCTTTTTCTAGTAGGTATCCAAATATGAAACAGATGTGAAATGTGAAAAGACTCCGTGGTATCTTTTATTTCAATCTCTCTGGGATATATCGAGTTGACATATGAATGGAAGTAACTACTGTTAATTGATAATACGTCGTCGATATATCTAAATATCGAGCTGAATGCCACAGCAAGTGTTTTCTTTTCATGTAGAAGATGTTGAATAAATTCTCTTCATATGAATACAGAAATAGGGTGCAATTGTATCTGCATGGCAAGTGTTGACAATTAATTATAAATTAGGTATCTTTGCAGTGCCTGAGAGTTCGTGTAACAATATTTTTTGATAAATAATTGGAAATTAAGAGGGATATACATGTATAAATAAAGAAAAGGAAAATTCGTCAATCGATTTTTAAGAGCTTTTATTGCATGATGTTGCTTTCAAAATTTGTAATATGATACCTATTTATTTTCATTGCACAATGAAATTAACGATTTCATCCCAGTTTTTGGTCACTGTTTGTGACGTTATTATCTACTCAGGTGCGTTCGATAACACGCTTAATATAATGACTGGTTTGACCGATCTGGAAGTAATAGTACTAGTATAGGGTAACTCCAGAACTTTGGTTTTTGTGACCATATGCTTGGAGCTATTTAACGCGGTTTTAAGTCTATCTCATAACTAGTGTTACGGCTAGTATATATCATTAAAAATAAACGCTCTTTAAAATTTGGATACTGTATATAATATTTTTATTTTATAAATTTTATAAATTTTATTTATTTATTTATTTATTTTATTTTATTTTATTTTATTTATTATTATTATTATTATTATTATTTTGAAAACTTTATTTTTTCATTTTTTTTCATTTATTTGTATTATTAAAGATTATATATATAAGTAATAACAATTAACTAAATATGTGAAAATTTTGCCTCGCTTTTAAAAACCAAATACATGTGACTATTTCGCGAAAATAAGTCGCGAAATTGATCTTCAGTATTTGCTACGAAAATAAGGTAAAAGTTATTGTCATTACAGGTATATCTGCACAAAAAAATGAATTATTTTCTTTCAGATGAAAACGATTTTTTTTTTCTAAACAAAAAAAAAGGGGGGGGGGGGGGAACGGGGCTGTCTCACCACCACTTTCTCCCCTAAGAAAGAAAGAATCCTTCCGTTGATCTTTACTGGGTTTCACACCTCCACCACCACATTTGGAAAAAAAAAACCTGGATCTGCTCACTATTCTTCCAATAGTTGTCTATTCACTGGACCAAAATTATATCAGGCCACAATATCGTTGGTTTGGCGTTGCCGACTTAGTCTTTATACGTTTGGGTCGGTAGGTAAGGAAAATATTTTTTTTTATTTAAATTTCAGAAATGGTACATGTTATTAGTATCCGAACGTCATGGGTTTCCGATAGTTTAACAACAACCACAGTCCTAATTGATTCTCAGTTTTGTCATTGATTTTCAAACCCTATTGTTTTAAACCTTTAATATACATAGTATTAAAAATCACTGACATTAGAATTAGTGTAAATTCGAATAATGTGCACGAATCCAAGCATGGCAGCTATACTAGCAAATCGGACAGGACATTGTACCGTGAAATTTCTATTTCGAACTGGTATATCTTATTTATCAGTTTACTTTTAAAACCACATTACCACAGAGAGTCATGCCATCACCTTCTGTTATACCGAGTTTACATTTTACCGCTTTCGGCAGCCATGCTTGGATTCGTGATACGCATTTATTCAACATCACATAGACGCTTATAAATGAAAACTGTTTGATCAATCAAGCGTTTACATGATTCTTTCCCATTCTGTATATATTACGCAAACGTACAAACACCTAAATACGGATGAATATAACGAAATAAAAAAATTATGATCAGTATCTGTTGAAAAAATTCTTCGGACCGCGCCGATTTATGCGAGTCGGCCGGCAACGCCAAACAAAGCTAATTTTATTTTTTTGCCTCATTGGCCAAAAAAAAAAAATTAGCAAGCTTTGCAAATTCAACAAATAAAGCTATAACATATCAATCTTGTATATACTACCTTTGATATAATCTGTATATCTCTCAAAGAACATGATATGCCAATGCAGGGAACAAGTTTATCCAACTTTGTCCTCCACTAAGTTTATTACTAATCATGTCGCATTGAAGTTCAGAAACAGTGATTCATATATTTATAGAACTGAAGAGGCACACTGATAAGTTGTGTATATCTTATATATACGAATTCTATTGAAATTTATTTTTCTATTACGAATAAGTGCTAATCAGCCCCTTGTCATGTAATCGGCTGGAGAAATCCGTAGACAATTCAGTACCAAAATAGTGGCCGAACACTATTGATAATTTTTTAATACCATTGTATCATCAACTCATTTGTCAGGAGCCTGGTTTAGTTAAAAAAAAATTGGTCGCACTGAGAACTTGTTCCTGCGTGTCGAATGAACTGGGAGACGTAAACACTATCTGCAGGTGAAAATTGTATTATAATGCAACAAAAATTAGGGGAATTGACTGTAAAAAAGTTGAATTCATAACTTTTTATCAAAAAGTTTAGTTGTCTTTCTCTAGTAAAACATCCAAATACGACACAAATGTGTCAGACCGTATAATGGGTATTTTCTGCGGTTGTCCAATTTTTGCGGAATTTTTGGATAGAACAAATCCGCAAAAATTACAATCGCAAAATATTTCAATATTAATTCAGATATTTTATACATGCAAGTCTGATAAGTGGTGCATAAATCAGTCAACCTGAGTTAATGTTATTTCATACAATATGTAACTTCTTACCCATTATACTAAAAACAGAATTATGCTTACGGATAGGAAATAAAAATGATTTGAAAATAATTTACGAAGACTAACAAAAAGCTAGTATAGCTTAGATCAGTTCTCATGCACCTTTGATCAACATGGTCTTTAAATGAATTTATAAAATGTAAACATGACAGTGTTCTGAGAAATCCTTAAAATTTGGTGTTCATATTCCAAAAATTATTTTTGCGGTATAATGCAACCGCAGAAATTATTAACGCAGAGATTAATTTGCTACTACCTTTCAGGGGTCAAATCGCAAAAATTTCCAACCGCAGAAGATACCCGTTATACGGTATATAGAATGAAGTAAGAATGAAAATAAATACCGTCCATCGACAAAACGCCGTCCATATATCGAAATGAATAATTGAAAGTGGAACGTAGAAAGTAAAAGTTCTTGAATAAATTCTGCTTCATGAGAAAACAAAAACATGTCTGCTAACGAAAGGACACATTTTTACCCTCTGGAATTTACAGGGATTGAAAAACATTCCCAGTAAAATTATGATCCCCTATTTTTCCAGATTTGAATAAAATACACCAACACACTACTTAAAAACAAAGGATCTGAATGCGCGCTTATGTATGTGTATTGTAAAAATACTTTTTCCTGACTACAGCGCCATACTTTGCGCATACGCACACCATCCATAATCACGTGACCGGCTTTTGTCATAAAGTGTGTATCATCTTTGCAGAATTGCGCAAATTAAATCTGAGTTTGATATCAATATGAAGTTTGACGACATTCTTCAAGAAGTTGGAGAATTCGGAAAATATCAAAAGTTTGTGTATTTTCTTTTATGTATCCCTTCCTTTGCTTGTGGACTATTCATGATGCATTTGGTTTTTGTTATGGAAACACCGAATTACAGGTATTAATATCCCTTATTTTCAAAATATCCAGTATTTCATATATTTATTTAGTTAATACCTTAAAAACTTGTAAAAATTGGTCTATATTTGAATTCGCTTATGATACCATTTGAAGAATATGAAAAAGCGTCCAACTGAAGAATTTTGCCTTTACTACCTGATAGAGCGAACTTTTTGAAATTCATTCTTTTCTTTTTTTTTAATCACTTCAAAAAATGTCAGGACAGCAATGCCATTGTATAAGATATGAGATGGCCATAGTCTTTATGGTGACTAAATTACAAGTGATTATGTTGAATTGTCAACAAAGAAAATGTATCATAGAAACTACCAGGTTATATTTACTAGATCACTGAGCAGCCCCGAACAACATGTGCTCGGTGCACGTATTCTACAAATTTTGACCCACTCGGTATTCTGCATGGTTAAAAAGGGAGAAGAAACTATGTCTAACGATTCATGAGGAGTGCTTAAATAGACAATGGTTTCTGCTTTATACAATTATGTAATTTACATAATAAAGGAAGATCAAATTAATAATGTTTGTGCGTTAATAACAAACATAAATGAAAATTAACAAACATAAATTTCAAAGTGGATGCCTGATTAAATTCAAATAAGCAAAAATAAAAGAATTACATTTTTTTTTTCTAAATCTTTATCCCACTGAAAATATAAGATTTGGTGTTAAAATGATTCTGATAAGAATTGGTAAACATATGTATAACACAAACCTTGAGTGTTTAAGGAGATTTCGATATATAGTGATATCTGATGACCAATAGCCAGCTCAACAGAGCAAATAGGTAAACTCTTCATTTTCTACCACAATTATTTTCATATGGGAGGGGGGTCTTAAGCAATAGGTGTAATGACCCTTTCGTTGTCAACAGTTTAGTCATAGCCAACACTTGTTCGCAAGTGTTTTAAATGCTCCAATTCCAAGACCATGGATTGTCTATATAATGAATAAGATACGTTGAATTTTCTTAAATTTCAATCAGTATCATAATGCTAGATTGTCTATATAATGAGTTAGACACTATGATTTTATTAAATTTCAATAATTTGTATAATGCTATTTTTCATTATCTACAAGAATCACAGTCTTGAAATTCATATTTCATTCAGTAGTTGCTATGTCCACTGCAGTTCATATTTATCCCCCCCCCCCCCCAGCGGTGACTTATTTTCTACGAGTTGAATAATATAGTTAATGAGTCGGATGGATAATGATTGTTTTAAATTATTTTTTTTTGTATGTTTTATCCCTGTGTAGCTACTTTTTGTACTTAATTATTTTCCCTTTTGGTTGGAAAAAAATCTATTCTCTGGCAGTCGATGCATAATTTCAGTGTACATTTATAATCGGTGTGTACATATTAAGATTTCTGATAGCACATTGACGATCGAAATAACTTTACAAAAATACACTTCTTATATTTTGTTTCTGAGATGTGTAAAATGTTCATCGTTGATAATTAATGACAAGGAGTACAATTATCATTTTCACTTTTTTTGTTGAATGTTATTTATATACGCTTCTTTTTAGTTTTGAATAAGATATACAAACTCACTACTTGAGGTCTCATCTTTAAAAGTAAAAGATCTGTAGGTGTTTTATGTATGTGTATTGTAAAAATACACTAGATTCAACGCTGCGCTTTAATTTGTAATCATCTGAACATATTTTGTCACAGAATCTGTATCATCTTCGAAGAATCGAGGAAACTGAATCTGAGTTTGATATCAATATTAAGTTCAACGAAATTCTTCAAGAGGTTTATATATACCTTCTTTTATCCACTTTTCCTTTGCATGTGTACTATTTATGGTGCATTTGGTTTATTATGGAAGCACCAAATAACAGGTATACAAAGCAATAACATTGTGTAAGACATAAAATGGAAAAAGTGAAGATAACGAATAGTGACCAATATCATAAAATCTACAGACAATACAAATCTGTGAACAGATCATAAAGTACGGAACCTCGGAAATTCCAGAGATGGGATCGTTTGCCAAGGAGGATTCCATGGTCATTTCGGTGACTATTCTCTATATTCATGTAGTTATTCTGAATTGTCGAGCGAAGAAAACATACCGTAGAAAAGACCAGGTTATAGTAACTAGACCACGGTGCTTTGAATAACAGGCAGTGTCAACCAACACGTGAATGTGTTCTACAAATTTTGACCTCTCAGTATTACTGTTTAAAAAAAGAAAAGAGGTTTTTAGCTAATGTTTCATGGGGAAAGGCTTATTAAGGCAATGCCGAATGCCTAAATTAATTTTCAGACTAAAGTATGTTCAAATCGCTATCTGACCTTTGTTAGATTAATATGAAACATAAATGAAAATTAGCAATCACACATACCTAAGTAGAAAATATATATAGAATTTCATTGTTTTTGTCTATATTTTCTTCTCAGTGAGAAAATCGAGGCAGTGTCAGAATGATTCTGACAAAATCAATATAAAACATGTTTCAGGAGATTTAGATAAATGCAATTACATATCCAGCGATGTCTCTTGAAATGACAAAGCCTGTCTAGCAATTGGGCAAATTAGCATGTCTGAAACGCTTAATAAAGGAGGGAGGGGACGGTGGTAAGAAATTCGTTTCGAAGGCCCCTTCATTGCCAGTAAAATCATTCCTCGAGAACCTGATTGAAAATATTTGAAAATGAATTTGACACTTTATTTTGTTTTAAAATAGTAGTAATATTTATCTTTTCTTTTCTTTTCTTCTTCTTCTTCTTTTTTTTTTTTTTTTTTTTTTTTTTTTTTTTTTTTTTTTTTTTTTTTTTTTTTGATAATGGCAATTCGAATGTGTGAAAACTCTTTGGTAAATATTCGTATAAATCTCTCTCATAATTTTGAAACACACAATTTCTTTTTATAACAGATCACCTTACTTTGTTTGTTATACTCATCGACGGAATTCATAGCAGAAATAAAGTTTAATCGCGAAAGATCTATATTTCGGAACGTTTAAAAAGATTGCTTTCGGGTTGTGATTTTCAACTCTTATTTTATCATCAGCAATGATGTGTCCAGGAGAATTATAGCTGAATGATAAAGGTAAAGATAAAGATTATTGATCGATGTAAAAAAAATCTACAAGCAATGCAAATCCGTGCATAAAACATGGACCCCCAGAAATTTTAGAGGTAGGGTCAGGTGCCTAGTAGGAGTAAGTATCCCCTATCGGCCGGTCACACCCTCCGTGAATCCTACGTATTGATCAGGTAGACGGAATATTCCAGGCATGCTTTTGAGTATCGAATACATATGCAGGTGATCGAGGACTATTACTACATTAATAATGAAAGTTGACGATGGAAAAGTAAAAAAGTTGAAGTCATCTAGTCTGTCTCACAGTTTAGTCGTTAGTTTGTCCTTATCGTATATGAATATGAAAACTGGTCCGCAAATAAATGAGCATGAGTAGTGCCCATAGAAATTCTAACAGTTTGTTGGAAGACCTGGTCTCCAAAGACTACATAAATGAGGAACTCCACCATTCTTCAGTATTAACTTCGGAGTATCTATGTGTAGAATCAGAGTGATTTTTAACAAAATAGTTTTGTTGATGACCAATCACAAGATATGAAAATTTCAAAATTCCATTTTTTTGAAGGAGCAGTTGTCTAAAATATAAAAAGGCCTAATTTTGAAATCATCTAGACCTGTGATATGCTTTGATGTTACTGAATTTTGAAATTTTGAAAAAAATGGCAATTTTTAATATTTTAAAAGTTCTTTGGAGTTTTATGAGATTTACACCACTTCTAGAATATGCTGTTTCACAATATGTCTGAAGTTTTTTCTTTACAGCAGATAATATTTTTGTAAGGAGTAAAGATAGGGGCTTGGTAGAGCATTTGCTTGACCCGGCAATATATCTTTGTAAGGCCTTTAATGAAGTTTAGGAATCCAGTATAGGTAACGTAGATAGAATTCACCTTGGCTGACTGGAATGTTAAAAGTATGAAAGACTGAAATGTGATTTTGAAGAATTACAACCTGAGAAAGTAAACTGTGGTTATAAGTTGGATTTCCAGACGTAGAATTAAAACCAAGTTCTTCTAAATTACAGTTATAATAATGAGCATTACAAACAAAGACGAAATTGTTAGAAGCTAGTATGTTGGAAGAGGAAGAACAAGAACACTTAAAAGGATTTTATTTTATATGGCACCTAAAGAAAATTTGAAAACACAAAATTATCCAAAATCAATAATATCAAAACGTACGACTTTTCAACACTTTACAACGATTCTCCAGTCGAGGCTTTTTGTCATCATAGGTAACTGCTTTTTCAATAAAAATGGAACTCATCAATTTACATACCTTGTCATTGGTTATCTGCAAAATTATTTTGTTAAAAACATTCTGATTTTATAAACAAGAACTCCGAAGTTGATATTTAAAAGATGCTTGAGTTTCTGATTGACAATGTCTATGTAGTTTTTTAGAGATGAGGTCTTCCACCAATCTGTTGGAATTTTCATCGGTACTAATTGGGCCAATTACATGTATTATCAGACCTATTTTTGTATTCATATGAAGCAGAATTTATTCTGAAACTTCTACATGAAAAGAAGAAGTCTCTTGCTGTGATCTTCAATTCAACATTTAGATATATCGACGACGTTTTATCAATTAACAATATTTATTTTCATTCCATCGTTGATTCGATATATCCCAGTGAACTAAAAAAGACACCACAGGGTCGGGCACAACTGTTTCATTTTTAGATATTTTACTAGAGAAAGCTATTAACAGCAAACTAACAACAAAACTTGATAAACGTTATAACTCAAACTTTTCTATCGGCAATTACCTTATTTATGCAGCATAATGTACCATTATCACCTGCATATGTTTTCCAGGTAATTCGATACGCAAGAGCATGTTCTACGAACGAACAATTTCATAAACTAGGCAAACTACCGACAAATAAGTTGATGATACAATTATCAACAGTCTCATTTAAAGTCATTTTGCAAATTCTTTGGTCGATACAGTGGCCTTGTTATCAAATACAATCTATCTTTAAGTTGAATGTTAACTGCCGCTTTTTATACTGATTGTTAGGTCATTATTTTCACACTAAATTGTCTTAAGATATTTTCGTTTACCCGATCATGACAAGGTGCACACGACGCGTGTGATCGATTGACAGGGGATGCTTACTCCTCCACGCATATGGCACCTGACCCCGCCTCTGATGTTTTTAGAGGTCTGTATTTGCTCTGTTCCCAATTTAAATTGTTTCGATTGATTCTTGAGCTTGATCACCATGGTTAATATTGTTACAATGTAGTGATTGTTTATAATTGAAAAGTTTCCTGTTTACAAAATCTACAAATTATTTTTTACGTTATATCGAATTCGACACGTTGAAACCTGATGTTGCCAAGCTGGCGTTCTATCATCAATAAAGTTATATTTTTAACGAAAAATCTCTAATTTGAGATCTCTTCACGGGGAGCAGTTTGAAATAATTTCATAAAATCAAACGATTTAGAAAGGGCATGTCGTACACTCGTCTCAAAAAATGGAGATCCAATTTGGAAACCTGTGTTAATATGACGGAGAATAATTCAGTCAACACCGGTTCAGTTTACATGTACTCACTTTGTGATGTCAATGTATTTTCTTCTAAAAAAAATTAATCATTGAAGGCTTAGATATCTGCTTATCTGGAAAGAGGGATCTGAAATAGTTTGTTCTCTATGTCCTTCGCATTTAAAGGCTAAAAATGATCAAACTTTGCAGAAAAACGGCGAAATGAAATGTATTTTTAAAAATACAACAGAAAGATAACTCAACATCTACACCAAAATATGGTCCAAGTGAATTAAATGGCTAATTACTAGATATATCAAAAATACATGCCATGAAGATTCCATCCATTCTATATATATTCTCTGTTATTCAGTGCACGTGACTGTGTCAACTAGTCTACAAACTCTACTCAGTCACTGCATTAATATCAACAGTATAATCACTGATACAGTTTTGGTAGGAGGTATAGCGCACTTAGTTTACCAAATGGCCTACAATATAGCGCATTTACAAACATTCAAAATATTCCATTATTTTATGCTATATGGTCTTCATATTAAAAAATGATTATGTATCTGAGTTTCCATATTTTCCTAAAGACTCTAACTCGGTGCTTTATATATATAAAAGACACATGATTTGTTACAAGTCTGGTAGCCTAGTGGTGTACGCTGAACAGTTTTTTGTGTCTGAGGTCTCCGGTTCAAGCCCCCAAAACTCCAGATTTTTTTTTTTTTTTTATTTTGCATTAATGATAGTTATAAGTACATATTTAAGTCTCTCTGATTTTTTTTTTTACATAAGCAAGTTCATACCTTCCACATAATATACGCATCAGAAACAAATATTATTGTTTAAGCCTGTCTGCTTACCATATACATATGAATTTAACGTTTTCTGATTTAATATAACATGGGATTTTCGACTATTTTGGAAAGAAGAGATACATAAAGAATCAGTGGATTCGTTGACGTACTAAAGATGCAGCAGTAGTTCCCGAAACGAATAATGATATAGACCTTTCATGATAATAAAAATCTTGAAAACAGTCAAGAAATAATCTTGATACATAATTCTGTAAAACGTCAAACAAATAAAAAATATTAAAATTATAAAGAATATTTGATTTGATTATAGTGATATATTCATATATGCAAAATGACTGTTTCTGAAGTTATCAAACCATGCAATGCGCTCAGTATATCTATTTATAGTAACAGGTATTTTTCCATTGAAACCTGGTAGTAGGCGAAATACCAGGAAGGGCGCCATACCTCTTTATAACCTTTTTTAAGTTTCTTTTTTTCTTTTTTTCATAAATATTTCAGCGGCAACCGTCTCTATTGTCGTTATTAACAAGCAATTTTATTAAATTTCATTAATAACCTTTTAGAATATGAAACATTTTTGCTGCTAAAGCTTACAAATAAGTGTCCAAATTAATTTAAAGAATTCCAAAAACATTTTTCAACTTAGTAAAAGAAACTTTAAGGATTTTATTTTTTCAGATGCAAACTCAAGGACTATCCGAATGACACATACCTTGTCCAGAACATGGAACACCGGCGATTGGTGGATATTTTTATTCCGCGAGATTCTGTCGGAAGTTATCGAAAGTGTGACTTCTATTCATACACATCAAATGTCAGCATTACGGCGTCTATGTACACTCATAATGAGACAGAACTAGCAAATCTTACCATTGGTGCAAATGCAACATTACAGACATGCTCTGAATGGGTCTATGACAAATCTGTTTTTAAAGAAACGTTCACCTCAGAGGTGATTATTTGCATTTGACTAAGTGTTAATAGATGGATAAAGACATACTTCCTTTTCTAATTTTACTCACAGTCTTAAATTTATATTATATATTATAAAGAATATCTGCAATTCAATGATTTTTAACTAACATGAAAATTATCAATATTCCATGATAACAAACACCTGTGTTTGTAATCATCGACTCAGGCTCTGTTATTGATTATGCTTAGGTTTTTCCTTCTGAGCACACCAACACTTGTGTGCTGATATCTTACTTTCTAATATGTTTGTTCCGAATTTTCTTGATTATACTTTTAATATTTTTTATCAATACATCATATTTCCCACTTCCTTAAATATTAAGGATAAAGTTTTGTAAAATTAATACGTGAAAGCGCACGGATACACGAAAATCAAACACTCCCGACATTCTTATAGTTTGGATAATTATCAGATAAAAGATTTTCTGAACACGGTTTTATAATACTCCGTACATCAGTCTCATGCTCTGGCAACATGGAAGTCATAAAATTTCCACCAAAAACATTTCAAGGATATAAACTTAAAAACTGTGTCTATGTCCCTTTAAAACGAAGTTTTTATTTCTTATAAATTCTTAGCACCGTTAGTCCAAAACCTTTGGCTACTGATGTTTTAAACAAAGCAATACTAGTATTTATTTTCTAAAAGGAAAATGGTCAACGAGCAAGATTATTTATGTAAAGTCCTTTCTCTAGGAATATTGTCAGTTACTCGGTTTAACTTTTTTTGAAAGTAGTAACATAGAAAAAAAATTATACAGAGTATTGGACTTTTGCGAGAAGCAGTGACTTTTGCAGTCTACGGCTTACTTTGACATTTAAACTTGCCTTATGTACGGAGGTACGGTTTTGACAATAGACAAGAAAGTCTTAATAGTGGTTATAGGTATGGTGTTAGGGGCACTTACATGATTTACCGGCATGCAATCAACGCAAGAGATGATGGGATTAACAATTAAATAATTTACCTTATTCGTGAGGGGTAGTGTCTCCCTCCAATCTCATTTTCTGAAGGAATCAAATAAGGAAGAAAAAAACCCATTCCGGAAGGAAAACTAAGCAAAAGTTCATCAATGTGGGAAGGGTGGGGGTTGAGGGTAGGGTGGTTGCTGGTCCCTTCCTCGACAACGTAAAATGTGCTTTGAAATGGCCCATTATTATCATTTAATTAACCGTTAAGCTCAATATTTATATCGCAAAAGAGCTTCCTTATATTGTCCTAGCGTAAAAGTAAGTCGTCGATTGTAAAAGTCAGTGCTTCTCGCAAAAGTCCATTAAGAATTAAATAAAAGTAAAAGGTGCATACAAGTTGTGTAAAATAGGCAAATAACTAGGTCCCATTTTCTCATCTTTTTACTTCAGGCCTTTTTTCTTTTAAATATGTAGAGGTACCGCATCAGAGAGCATAATCCTTACAACTGTGTCTTGATGTTTATGATAGTTATGTATCAAGGACTAATGTATGTTGATATAGAGAATACTGACTCTTTTTAAAGCACAACCTCGTCTGTGACGATGCCATTTTAGTGTCCCATTCCAGGATGGTTTTTTACTTCGGTGTTTTGGTTGGTGATATTGTTTTTGGATGGTCATCAGACAGGTAATCAACGAGTTCTAAGTCATCAGACAGGTAATCAACGAGTTCTAAGTCATCAGACAGGTAATCAACGAGTTCTAAGTCATCAGACAGGTAATCAACGAGTTCTAAGTCATCAGACAGGTAATTAACAAGTTCTATGTCATCAGACAGGTAATTAACAGTTCTAGGTTATCAGACATGTAATTAACAAGTCATCAGTCAGGTAATTCACAAGTTCTAGGTCATCAGACAGGTAATCAACAAGTTCTAGTTCTTTATATGGCAATTTATCAATGAACCTTGAATTATATTGTATATATACGTTCTAAAGAATGTAATATAAATATCATATGGATTTGGAAAAAAAAAATTAGATTAGGAAGGAAAATCACCATGTACACTGGACTTCTGTTACTCATTGGTGGCGCGTTTGCAGTCAGCTGGGCCCCGGAAATAATCAGTTTTACCGTCCTAGAATTCATTATTGGAGCGGCAAATCATGCTTTTCTTTGCACCAATGTACTTGGTAAGCCAATTTCAAAAGACATGAATTTTTTTAACATTTCAGCAGTTGGAAGATTTTTATACTGGTAAGTGCCATATTTGTCAAAGTGATGTTTGTTTTGTTTTGTTTCAGGTCAGGAATTGGTGGGACCCTCTAAGAGAAAGTACACAGGAACTATCTGGCACATGTCTTTCGCTGTTGGAGTTGTGTACCAAACAATTGTGTATTATTTTTCACGAGATTGGCAGACATCATGTATAGTATTCGCAGCGTCTTGTCTCGTTATGATTCCATACTGGTGGTAAAAAAAAACATCATTTTATGTCTATCTTACTTGCATTTTAAGGGTATCCTGTATAAAAAGGTGATCAGATAAGTTTCAATCAAAGTTACAAATACCAGTGTTTTCACTTTAAATAAGATATATACTCTCAGATAAATATTATAGTTTTCCTTTTCTTGTTTAGCTTTTCCACGCAGCTCCACATCGCTGAATGTTCACTTTTTTATGTACAAGGTTGATTCCTGAATCTCCTAGATGGTTAATAAGCCAAGGGCGACATGAGGAGGCCAATGTCATCCTACAAAGGATTGCCAAAGTGAACGGAACCACGATGTCACCAGAGATTGCTAAGAATCTTATCATAAAGAAGGAAAATGTCGGAAGTTTTAGGGACCTTCTCAAAAGCAAGATAATGTGTCTCAGAGCAGTTATTCTGAGTTTCAACTGGTGAGAAGCTCCTGTAAACGTGGCTATTTCCGCTGTAAACGTGGCTATTTCCGCGTATTCTTAATTATGCAGGTCTACGAGATATTTGCCCTACATGGGAAAGAGCTAGTTTCCGCTTAATACTTGTTAAAGAGAGGATCAACTACTCACACCTCTCAATCTTCTCTCTTATCTAAAAATACATAATATGATATAAATTAAAGTATTTGGTGAAAACGAGTTTTTTTTCCCCGGAGAAGGAACAAAAATGAAGATATTTCAAATGGTATCTTTCACCTTTTTTTTATTTGCTATAGGATGGCAGTTAGTTTAATGTACTATGGAGTGACATTAAATGCAGGACATATCGGAAACTTTTACCTTAATTTCTTCCTAATGGGCATTGTGGAATTTCCCGGTATTTTGTGCACCATTTTCTTGATAGACAGAATTGGTCGTAAAAAACTTCACCTCATTTGTATGCTGGTGGGAGGAGTAGCCTGTCTTCTCACCATATTTACAGTGACGGTCGCCAGAGAAAGTAAGTTGCAGATTTTTTTTACTTTTAAAGGGTTGGAAAAAAGATAAATAAAGGTAAGATATAAATAAAAAGAATTGGTCGTAAAAAACTTCACCTCATTTGTATGCTGGTGGGAGGAGTAGCCTGTCTTCTCACCATATTTACGGTGACGGTCGCCAGAGAAAGTAAGTTGCAGATTTTTTTTACTTTTAAAGGGTTGGAAAAAAGATAAATAAAGGTAAGATATAAATAAAAAGGGGAAAAATTAAAGAAATGAAATGAGAAAGGAAGACTTTTATATTTGCAAATTTATTTTAACGTCCTGGAGATAATCATGAATGCAAAACATTTCTAAATTGAACGCATCTTCTTTTAAGTAAGTCAATTTATTATAATACAGCTTTGCATGACAATGCAGTTTCACCACATTTTTACAGACGTGTGCATCCTTTATATATATTTGTAAGACGACATATAACCGCCTCCATTTATGTTTATAGATAACCTAATGTCTAAATTTCCAATTTTGAGAAATCCTAAGACTTTAGATGAGTACATATAATCATATTTCTAGTAAGGAGATGGGGGAAAATGCAATTCTTGCAAAATGCCTATAACTTCACGTGTATAAAAGTCATATTCAATATGTGAATTTAGAATTCAAAGTAGAGTTCGTACTGAAAGTTATGAAATTATGACAAACAAAACGTTTTTGCGAAAATTTCTTTCGGCAAGAATCATTCTATAATTTAAAAAAGTGGTACTCTTGGGGTTTGAAAACAAGCAATAAAATTCAATTTTCCTTTCGATATTAACACTCTAATCACTACGCTATACCGTTCATACCAAACATTGCTATTAAATCATGTTTGTAATATGATCCTTGACTAAATGGACAAATATTTCTCTGAAAGATACGAAAGTTGTACCGTAAAGGTGCATTTTTAAAGTATAGTGGGTCTTCACTCCACGTTTTTGTTAACCAAAGAATGTTTTTACGCATGCTTTGAGTTTAATCTTTCAAAATAATTTCAAAAAAAATCTTTCATTTAGTAAAATTGTGTTTTAGTATGAAGAATTGATCATTTTTGTCCTCTTTGGTGTATTTATGCTATTTCATAGATGAATATTTTCATAACTTCAATCTTTGTGAGATTTTTGCGAATTGTGGAGAATTTACATAAAGTATACATTATTATTAAATGAAATATCAAAAAAAAAAAATTGTCATACTTGAGGTTTAATTTTTCACTTTCTTATTTGTTGCACAATAGGCATTTGACTTTGACCTTGGAGTTTGACCTACTTTTGAAAAACGTTAACAGTGGCGATAACTTTTGATCAGTTGATGCTAGGGCTTTCATACTTCACATGTGTAATTCTTGTGACAAAACCTTTCTTTGGATACCAACAATGTTGACCCTTTGACCTTGACCTTGGAGTTTGACCTACTTTTGGAAAACTTTAACCTTGGCCATAAATTTTGTTAGTGCTAGGGCTTTCATTCCTCTCATGTGTAATCCATGTGACAAGCCCTTCCTTTAGATACCAACAATTATAGCCCAATGACCTTGACCTTGATGTTTGACACACTTTTGGAAAACTTTAACCTTGGCCATTTCTTTTGAACAGTTGGTTCTAAGCTTTTATACTTCACATTTGCAATCCTTGTGACAAGACCTTACTTAGGATACCAACAACTTTGACCCTTTGACCGTGACTTTGGAGTTTGGCCTACTTTAACCTTGGCCATATCTTTTAAATGGTTGGTGCTAGGGCTTTCATATTTTCACATGTGTATTTTTTGTGAGAAGACCTTTCCTTCGGCACCATTAATTTTGACCTTGACCTTGATGATTGACTTTCTTTTGAAAAACTTTAACCTTTTCCATATCTTTTCAATGGTTGCTGCTAGGGCTTTCATATTTCACAGGTATATTCCTCGGTGCAAGTCCTTACTTTGGGTACCAATATATTTGATTTGCATTTGAGAAAGTTTAACCTTTGCTATAAGTTGCCATACGGGGGCATCAGTGTTTCACAAACACATCTTGTTTTGTTCTGGCACTGAGCCATATAACATTTCTTTCAGCGTTAAGACCACTACCTGTTGTTCTGTCAGTGACCGGTATAACCTACATTTCAGTTTTAAGACCACTAACTTTTATTCTGGCACTAACTGGTTTTATCTTCATTTCAGCTTTAAGACTATAAAATAATGTTTTTGCAGTGACCGGTTTTATATTTATTTCAGTTTTAAGACTTTTTCTATGAGTGACCAGTATAAGCTACAATTCAGGTTTTAGATCACTGACTGTTTGTCTGTTAGTGACCGGTATTACATTTATTTCAGCTTTAAGACTATTTACTGTTGTGCCGAGTGACCGATATCATATGCATTTAAGTATTAATTCTATTGACTGCTGTTGTGCCGGGTCAACGGTATCAGATATATGTCACCTTTAAGACCCCTGACCGGTATACATTTCAGCATCAAGACCACTGACTGTTGCCTGACAGTGACTGGTATCACATTTAATTCAGCATTAAGACCACTGGCCGTGACCGGTAGACATTTCAGCTTTAAGACCACTGACCGTTGCCTCACAGTGACCGGTATCGCATTTATTTCAGCTTTAAGACCCCTGAGCGTTGCTTTGATGGTGACCAGTATACATTTCAGCTTTAAGATCACTGACTGTTGCCTGACAGTGACTGGTATCACATTTAATTCAGCATTAAGACCACTGGCCGTGACCGGTAGACATTTCAGCTTTAAGACCACTGACCGTTGCCTCACAGTGACCGGTATCGCATTTATTTCAGCTTTAAGACCCCTGAGCGTTGCTTTGATGGTGACCGGTATACATTTCAGCTTTAAGATCACTGACTGTTGCCTGACAGTGACCGGTATACATTTCAGCTTTAAGACCACTGACCGTTGCCTGACAGTGACCGGTATCGCATTTATTTCAGCTTTAAGACCACTGACTGTTGCTCTAGCGGTGACCGTATACATTTCAGTTTTAAGACCCCTGACCGTTGCTCTGATGGTGACCGGTATACATTTCAGCTTTAAGACCCCTGACCGTTGACTGACAATGACCGCTATACATTTCAGATTTAAGACCGCTGACTATTGCTCTAGCGGTGTCTGGTATACATTTCAGCTTTAAGACCACTGACCGTTGCTCTAGCAGTGACAGGTAAGATGGCATCCTCCGCTGCTTTTGTGGTTGTTTACATATTCACTGTGGAACTGTTTCCTACCGTCATAAGGAACGTCGCTCTCGGAACAGGTTCTTGTTTTGCCAGATTTGGAAGCATGACTGCACCATATTTCGTTACCCTTGTAAGTTTATTATAATTTAAACACTTTTTCATATTTTTTATCCAACATGCAAGTATTTTCTTTTCTTATCAACGCATATTTTTATTTATTTATGTAAGTTTTGTAATAGTAAATTTGTAAGTATGTTACGTGCCCTAATGCAGTGGTTCAAATCTTTATTCCATGTACATTTATACCACACAAACAACATTGAACAGGGTATGACTATAGAAGGCTCCCTTGGCGAGGCCTTTTCTCTGGTTATTTTCGGTGCTGTTTCTGTTGCCGCTGGTATCATGTGCCTTTATTTACCAGAAACTTTGAACCAGAAATTACCAGAAACCATAGAGGATGGAATCAATTTTGGAAGGTTTTTTTTTTTTAAAAGTTAGAAAAGAAAAAAATTGTTAGAGACTAACTAATTGGACTCTCTTTCTCTCTCAGAACCACATCTAATGACTTATTTCAATATGCCCAGCCCTGTATATATATCCATGTCTGTTTTTTTTTATTGACAGAGTTAGAAAGACAACTGTAGTAGATAGAAATGGAAAAGACGACACAGAGAGAAACTTTGAGAATGACAAAATAGAAAATCTCCAATTGTAAAACAGTCTTGCTTGAAATCTTTCAAACCGGTGGTGTCTATGAGGACAATGGATTGTAAAAGTTTTGGAAATTTGTCAAATATTTTTGTACAGGGTATACCTTTGCTAAAACACATATTATCTAGACGTTTACGGGAAAGTGTACCAAGTTTATCAATAAAAATTGTATTTTTTCCCTTTTTGCATGCAAGTAACTTGTATATGGGTTGTAATCCTATACTTTTATATATTCTGAGTTGGTTCTGTATTGTACCTATTTCAATAAAATGTGGACAGTTTATTTCCTACATAGTGAAAATGCAAAGGAATAATAAGCAAAAGCTGAAAACTGTTTTTGATGTCTGCAAAAAATATAAGATTGAAGAATGGTATTCCATAATTACATGTATGATCATTTATAGAAATATGTTTTATTTATCAATTTCGTTAATAATTATTGGGTTAAGCAATAACTCTATGATTTATGGAATAAAAAAGGTAGAGATTTAAAAAAAAAATAATGATTGTACTCAGAGTGTGTTCTTGCGTACTGAATGCCAGCTGGGAGATATGGACATAATATGTGTAGGTTAAAGTGGAATACGACGTAAATAAGGGACGCTACCGAAGAAAAAGCTGAAGCTGTCCCGTTCGCAATATACACATGTAGTTTAGTTGTTAGTTTGTCATTATCGTCCATGTTCAGTTAAACCTCAGATATGAAACATATGTGGCAGACTCTGTGGTTTCTTGCTTTGAGTTAATAGAAATATATAGAGTTGACATATGAATGAAAGTAACTTATGTTAATGACCAAACATCGCCGATTTTTGTTAAAATGTTTAAATGAAGCCACATCAAAAGATTCTTTTCTTGTTCAGTTGGATTTTTGTGTTGATTGCCGAGCAGAGCGACACTTACAATCTAGGTCACATTTAAGCCGATGGTCGGGCGACCAAATTTTTCTCGTATCGTCGACTGAAAAAAAAAACATAATCTGCCGACACTAGTGTCGGGCGACACAGAATAGTCACATCCATTCCTAAGAAAACCGATGCCTTTAAAAGTTCAAAATTCAAACCTTCGTTAACATCATCGATCATTAGCTGAGCCGCGCTTTGATTTTCACCGTCGGCCGACATTTACGAAAACCCAATCCCTAAATGTCGACCGATCGACTTCACAAACTGTCTATCGATGGTCGGACGATGATTGGAAGGTTTGTTGACGGAATATTCAACGACTGCTTTATTTAAAGGAATCGGCCACCGACACAGAAAAAATAATAACCGGGCCCGATGAACAAAAAATGGTCGACCGACGAATAAAGAGGTCAAAATCGGGCAATACAACGCCCCATGAAATGCTGACTATCGCCAGAAGAATCCTATTTTTGCCTCAAAATCCGTCGGTCGGTCATCGTTTTTGGAAATGTGACTGGGGTGTAAAACCTCGGTTTAAAACCCCAGTCACCTTTTCAAAAACGACCAATGGCCGATGTCTTGCCCGATTTTGACCTCTTTTTCGTCGGCCGACCATTTTTTTTTTATTTTGGTCCATCAGACCCAGTTATAATATTTTCTGCGTCGGTAGTCGATTCCTTTAAATAAAGCAGTCGCTGAATAGTCTGTCGACAAACCTTCGATCATCGTCCGACCATCTGAAGACAGTTCGTTATGTCGGTTTTCGGTCGGTCGACATTTAGGAATTGGGTTTTCGTAAATGTCGGTCGACGGTGAAATTCAAACTGCGACTAAGCGAACAATGATTGGGCGACTGTTGGCCAACTTAAAATTATTTAATTTTAGAAAAATTATCGGTGTTCTTAGGAATTAATGTGACTGCTCCGCGTCGCCCGATACAAGTGTCGGTCGATCATGTTTTTCAGCCGACGATACGAGAAAAATTTGGTCGCCCGACCATTGGCTTAAATGTGACATGGGTATTCTTAAAGCTGAACATGATTCGTAAAAGCAATGTGTCCGCCATTTTTGTTCGGATTCTCGCTATATCTGAGGACCCCTATATAAAGGGCCTGACTTGATGTATCGTAGATATATATATGGACACTGTTCAGTATAATCAGTCGACACCGGTGTAGACGGACGTATGCTATACAGCACTCGGTATCGAAAATGGCGTATGCCTATTTACGAGTCTGTGTCCGAAAGTTGTTCGTCATATGGAAATCTTGGCATACCCTAGCAACGTGCGTTCTTTTCATGTGGAACGTAAAAGGATGGTTTGCGTGCTTTGAGACCTGCTCCTGTGAGACTATTGTGTACATTTTTATTTCTCCAGTTCTGGCATTGCGGCGCCCAAGAATGTTAGCGATATCAGTTGCAGTTTTAAATATGTTCCGTCGGTGGATTGAACAGATCTCTCTGTCCAAGAAGTACAGTTGCCCTCCGAAGATGTCCGCTTTTACAGGGCTCTAATTGGCGACTAATTTAGTCGCCATGGTGCCTAAAATTTTTGATTGGCGCCTAAAATTTTTCTATAAGTCGACAAGTCCGCTACCATTTAATTTGACTTGGCGATTGTTGAATTCCAGAAGAATAAACATTTTCAACAGTGTGTTTGGGGTGGGGGTACAAAGGTACTCTTATGTCCCTCGACTTTCAAATATGGAAAGAGCACTAGACACCACCCTCCCACGACTACCCCTCACAGGGCCCTATATTGGCTAATATCAGCTTTTAAAGTTGGCGCCTGAGAAAAAAAAATGCCTGGCAACTAAGAATTTGCATTGGCGACTAAATTGTTTTTATAAGAAGCCAGCTGGCGCCTAAATTTCAGGGGTTACTTAGAGGCCTGTTTTAGAACATTTTTAACGCTTTCTGCTAACATGAATCTTTGTTCTAGCCGCGATACAGTGGATTGGGACACATTAAATTGCTCAGTAATTTAACTCTGATGGTGTCTTTGTATAATTAAGTAAATAACCAATGACAATATTATAACAGTTTATTCTCATAAACTGTACCAAACAGTGTAGAGAGGATATTACAAATATGAAAGAATTACAATAAAGCATACGTGAAAAAAAATAAAAGCCGTGAAAAAACAACGTCATAAAACAAGAGAACAAATTCTCTCAGAACTCTTACAATTTCAGTCATTTTCATTTCGAAAAAAAAAATCATTGGAGATTGCAAGAATGGTTCAACTTACCCAAAAATCCAGCTTCATTGATTTCTTCCTTTGAATATACATGTATGTGGTCACAAACATGTTTTTTAGTCACTCTGTACTGCGAGTTTGTGAATCGCGAATATTTAAGGGAAGAATTAAGTTACTACTCAAGTTATACTGTATAACCTATATTGGGGCAGTTTACGCGTAAACGTAAACTGTTCCAATCCAGGTTATACCAGAATAACTTGGATAGCTATTAAATTCATACCTTATAATTTAATTTTCTATAGGCACCGTAGGCAACAAAGGTTATATTCATGATGTAAGCTATTTTTTTTTTTTACCCAATCAAATGACGCGTTACAACCAAAATTAAATTATAGAAACATATCGAATTTTCACTTTAATATACATGAGTATTTTTCGATGTTCACATTAAGCTTGATGTAAACTATATAAAAATCTATTTTTAATCTTTTCTTTTCTTAATTAATTAATACTTCTACCATTTTATGCTTTAAAGGGTTAATCTTTGTGCCTTTAAGTCTTTTTTCGCTGATATGACATCCAAGTAGTTTAATATAAGCCGTTAAACAATAAAATGCTTAAATTGTTTGTTTGTTTATTTGTTTATTAATGTGGGGATCATAACGATTATAACACTGCAGGAAAAATGCCAAAAATTTTATTTTTTATATTTGTATCCGTATAAATTATTCGTATATATGTCTTTCTTTGTTTATATATATAGGGATTAATGATTGCATTCATATCAGATAAAAATTACATACTAGGCTATATGACTGATTGATTAAGGTCCTAGGCCGAATGGCCACTATTTCAACCATATATTATCACACAGGTTATATAAAAATCCTGTTATATTATAAACAACACAAATAAATTACTTAAATTTATAGAAACCATCTGGCTGCAGTCTCTGGTGTTGACACTTAAATCAATTAATTAAATCTATTTTGTTAAGAAAATGTTTAAAATTTGATATGCTTTTTAGTTTTTACATGTGTTTTATGTAAATCACTTAATAGTGAAAAATGTATTGTGTAAAGAGGAATAACTCCTGATGTCCCGTGAAATATTAATATTATTAAGTAGCCAACTCTTTAAATACACGTCACAGGTGAAAATATCAAATCGAAAGTAAAACCCAACTTCATGATTCGTGTACATGTTCATACTCGGTTGATGAAATACCAGGTACGTCTCCATAGTCGAACACAGGTTAGTAACCTAAATGTAATTTTGAGACATAATGTTCGAAATTTTCTTCTCATATCACATAATCACGCCTGCTAATCGACCAGTTGCATAACCAGCAGCGATAACGCTGATCTGTCTCACCGGTATTTTTTTTCTTTGTTATCAAAGGATGTCAGTGTTTATCAATCATTTTATTAATTAATAATTATCTTTTTGGAAAAATGTACTTTCATTTTATTATAATTAATTTCTCATTTTAGCTTTCAGTTTTCTGTTATTTACTAATGTAACATACGTAATGAGTATCGCAGTTAATAATTCATTGTAACACATTAGTATGATGTATTTGAAAATTAATCATATTGACCTTTTGGCTTATTAATCGCAATAATATTTAAAAGAAGGGCTGGATCCAGAATTTCAGGTTGGGGGACTTTTAAAAAGAAACAAGGGCAAATCAAGGAATCTCCCCCCCCCCCCCCAAAAAAAAGGAAGATGCATGCATAATTAAAACAAATCAATTATAAAAAAAAACTTCTTGAGAAGAATTTTCCCTAATTTCCTCAATATAAAAGTAGAAAATTCCAGATATCTAGAATATGACGCTACACACGAGGAAAGAAAATCAAGCCTATTTCGGAAAGGGGGAGGTGTCGACGCAGTTTTATCTCCACTTCCCTGCTCTTTCTTAATTTTATAGAGATTGGGGACGCCGGGTGATTCAGATGAAAAGCGACATGTGTACCGCTATAATGCCGTAGACTAAAAATATCTAGTAATATTATTTTCAAAAAACAATGCATATTGTAAATATTTTTTTTAGTTAAATGTGATCTTTATAGTTCGA